AACACCCCTCTGGCTGTCAATCAAACAGCCATGAAGAATTCCTTCTTACTTGCTAACAGAAGTGGCAGGCACGCTCTACTTGAGTGTGCCTGCCTCCACATCCCTCACAGACCTCAGACCAGCTCCACAGCTCTAGACATGAGCCATGGTGTGAGTCAGCTTGCACATGCACATGGGGACCAAGTTAGAGGCTTCTCCAGGGAAAAATAGGGAAGGGCTTAAAAAAGCTGCAGTCATAAGAACTACAGCTTTTGTAAGCTCTTTAGGCTATACACCCAATAAATACATACATAAAAATATGCATGCATGTGTTGAATGGGGTATATCAACTAAACTGTGTGGTTTTTTTTTTTTCTGTAAGTGTGGAGTGGTCCTTTAAATTCTCTTGGATTCATCTTGTAGCCCATAGTATATTCTAAGAAAACTGACAACATATTTAGTACTGCTCCCAAACTGGCCATGTACACTGTGCTTTTTAATGTATGCATGTATAAATGGCCGTAGTATTATTTAATCAACATTTGCATTTATGCAGAGTTTGAATTTTTTGCAACAAGAGACATGCTTAATCTATTTAAAAAAAAAAAGTTCAGAATAGAAGTGAAGGAAGGAAGTGTGGGGAGAGGCAAAGTGAGCAATGTGAAGGGGAGTTATGTTATTACTAAAACTCAGGTCAGAGACTTTGACATACTGTATCACAAACCATGATAACAAATTACAAAATGAGAGAGAACTCACCAGCCAAAGAGATGTCAACATCAATCAGCCACATTTCCAAATAATTTAAGATATAAGCACACACTCAGAGTAATGAACTCTATTTGCTACAGAGCTTCAGTACACACAGGACGCAAACTCTATCCACAAAGTGTACAGAGTAGATGCTATCTGTAAATTGGAAATAGCTTCAAAATGCATCACATAACACAACTTGGTAATTAACTTTGTTGGTTACATTGGTTTTTTTTACCAAGCGTTAATAATTCAGTTTTGTTTATACATCTGTGTAGCTATATATCTATTTTGAGTTTTGTTTTTAACAAGCTTTACAAATTATGCTAAAACATAACAGTATTATTATTAGTTTTAGGCAAAATAAAAAAGTGAAGTAGTTGTGGTGTTTCAGAGAAAAGGCAGTGTTTACATTGTTGCCTAGTAACTCAGAGGGCCACTAGAAGTGCTTCCTGGGGCTGTGGAGTTCAACGTCTGTAGGCTCTGCATGGAGATGCTGTACACTCCCCATAGAGATGCACTCATTCAATACATCTCTATGAGGAGATGCTGATTGGCACAGAGCATCATTTTGACGCACATGCGCAATAGCCTCTTAATGCTTTTCAATGGCTGAGATCATCAAGACTGGTGATTTTTAGTCATGGAGGTGGGTCCAGGTGGGACGAGATCGGCGCAGCATGGGAGAAAATGTGAGCTTTAATTCTTTCATCTATACAGAGAGGGTGGCTGGGAACCTAAACATTGATTCCTGCAAATATATGAAATACATGCTTGTATTCCTGACATTACAGTGTTCCTTTAAGTCATATAGTATCAACCAGTTTGTAGAATTAAGCAAAAGTTGCTTCTATACACTTCAAAATCATGTGAAAATAACTACTATTAAGGAAGCAACATTTATTGTATAAAAATTCTATTTCTGTGGTTAGCTTATTTCTTCATATACATTTCCTTGAGTATGTAAAAAAACAAACGCATTCACATTGTAACCACTTCCTTTTTAACAGTGGTATTGCCCCACTAGAAACTGACCCTCGTACCCAATATATGTGTCATACTGTGTTGTCTTTACTTGCAATGAAACTATTAACCTTCTGGTTTGTTTGGTCTGTAGACTCATTTTACCAGTGTCAGGTGTGTAGTTGAAGAATTATTCAGGTCCAGGACAATTCTGGTACAATCTATTTAGCTCTTTGTACTTACAGCTTAAAGAAACACTATAGGGTCAGGAACACAAACAAGTATTCCTGAACCTATAGGTTTTACAAACAAGTATTCCTGAACCCCCCTCCCCCGTCTCCCTAAATATAGTAAAATCTTATGTATTCAAGTCTGCAGCTACTACCTCTGCCCCGATCTATCTGCATGCCTGACATCATCAGAAGTGATTCTGTTAGCCAATCATAATGCTTTCCCATAGGAATGGCTGAGACTGTCAAGGAGGCAGATCAGAGGAAGAGCCAGCACAAGTCAAACACAGCCCTGGCCAATCAGCATGTCTTCATAGAGATCCATTGAATGCATATCTATGAGGAAAGTTCAGTGCCTGCATGGAGAGGGTGGAGACACTGAATGGCAGTGCTGCTTACTGTGCAGCACCAAAGGCGGCTCTCTAAAGGCCTCGCGGCCGCCTTAACCACCTTAGGACAGACTGTGTCGGGTCCGGACACCAGGAGGGGGCCCGGCGGCATACTCCAGAGAGCTCCCATCACAGACACTGGTCTACAGCTCCGGAGTGTGCAGAGCTGCAGACCATGTGTCTCACGAGAACTGGCCAATCAAAGCGTTGACGCGGGTTGCCACACTCACCCTGTCACATTAAGTTCTCTAATCCTGTCAACTCTGCCACACTCACCCTGTCACATTAACCCCCCCCTTAATCCTGTCACACTCATCCCTCCTACCATGCCACAATTGCCCTGACACACTTACCTCCACTCGCCCTCTCACACTCCCTCTCCCTTTTCTCTCTCACAACCCCCCCAACTCTGTCCCATTTACCCCCTTTGCCCAGTCACGCTCTTCCTGCCACTAGTACCCCTTTACTCACCTTGCCATAGTCACCACCTGAAAACATTCATCATACACACACAGTCAGGAACATAGCTTTGCCAAAACATAATGCACAAAGACAACAGGCAGATCCCCCCCCCCCCACACAACTGTATGGGAAAGCGAGGAATTGAAGCGCCCTTGCGCTGCTGCTGCCTGACGCAATGGATGTCTGGCTGAGTGCGTATGTGTATGTTGCTGGACTGGTGTTTTACCTGGTGCTAGTGAGCAGCAATGTAAGTGCAGCCTAGCGCCCGGGAACATGGCCGGCGGCCCGCTAGAAATAATAGAGGGGTGGCCGAAACTCGATAGAGGGGCGGCACAGACGATCATAAAGCCGCAGGGCCAGCGCCCCCCCTTTAAGCAGCGCCCTAGGCGGCCGCCTAATTGGCATATAGGAAGTGCCGTCCCAGAACCCAGTCAGGTGGCAAGATAGAGACTAGAAGGATAGTGGTGTATAACTGGTATTTATAGCTGGCCTTAAAGAAATGGCTACAGTGAGGCAAAAATAAATAGAAAGCTACAAACAGGTAGAATCGTCAGGAATACTGATGTCAAGGGTGCCAGTGAGATAATAACAGTAATAATAACACGTCGGGTTAAGGACGATAATGATCAACATAAGTAACCAAGAATTCACTTCAATACCTCTCAGCGAGACATTTGATCATTTACATTTTTTTCTTAATGTAATTAATTTTGCTCATGACAGAATGCTTGAGCAAGGAATTCCTGGTTCCTGACTTGGCTCCTGACTCCCCTATTGTAATTTTACTGATTTGGCTTGTGTGAATACCCTGATTTCTATAATCCTGAACTTGGTATCCCAGTTTATGTTAGACTGTAACTTGTCGCCAGGTAAGCCCTGCCATTTTAAAGTCTGGTCATACTCCTTTCTAAAACATTTCATTTTAGTTCCTTGCATATTGGATTATTTTGTGCAGGCCTCCTCCAGTACCTGCTCGCAATTCTTACAGCAAGCAACAAACTAGATCCACATTTGAACTGAAAACAATCTCAGCAAGATCAAAGAAAATATATGACACTTCATACTATGCTGGTGAACTGTACTGTAAAAATAAGGCTTGATTTGATTTTAGAAAAGGTATAAGTAAAGTCATCACTGCTTTTGATGCATGACGTTTCTATCATCTGGAATTAATTAAACAAAAATGTGTACAGGTCAGCCGTATAGAGATTTATTTTTTTGTATGGATGATAGAAGCCACTTGTTCTTTAGTAGTTTTATATCTGTGTCATTTTAAAGATGGTGGATGGGGCCTGGCCCTGTTGTAAGAGGAAGAAGATAGATTGACGTCTGTCATTTTTGTTCAACATGGAAGCCAATGGTAGGCTGGTAACACTACAGGATGAGCTGGTCCAGCACTCATCATTGGTGTTCAGGTTGGGCAGAATTGACATTTACTATGCATAAATATAAATTTTGCATTATACTGTAGAGTTCCTTTTTTATTTTGTGTACATATATGACATAGACTTGCATACCTTCCTGAGAATCTGGACACTGGTAGAAGGGAGGTATATGGGGCTGGACAGTGACGTGATTGCATGCCAGGCTGCCTGTCCATCACTCAGGCCGGTCCACTGAGGGCAGGACATGCAAGGAGAACTGTTTCAGTGCTCCCTGCAGGGTCCAGTGCCCTGAACATAGCGCAAGCACGCCTTATGATGTGCACGTGCTATGATTGTTGGGGACATTTCCGTGGTTTCCACAAAAGTGGAACACCAGGGTACCTTAAAATCGGGACTTTCTACCCGAAATCGGGACAGCTGGGAGGCATGGATTTTCAGATATCTCAGAATCTGTCACCCCAAATGTTGATGGCTTAGAATTCTTTGAAAGCAATAGATGGACATAAAATCATGGGAGCTGTAGTTTAGCAACATCTGGGGGTAGCATTCGAATCTGAGCATAATTCCCTGCAAGTATTAATATGGTCTATATCACTCTGAGAGTGTATTACTTTACAGTAACATTATAAGATGCGATAATGGTCAAAGACAGGGTTGGACAGAATGTTACATTTAAGATACAGGCTGATCCTTTTAGCTGTCAGACTGCTAGCGTTATTCACTAAAGTGAGAATTCAAAGCAAATTCAATGTGAATTTCAAATTCAAGATAAAAAAAAGCCGAACTGGAAATACTATATGCTACCAGCTCAGCTACTTTGGCCTTAAATTTGAAGTTCACTTTGCTTTTTCAATTCTAACTTTAGTAAGTAACCCTGGGATTTTTTTAGAAGTTAGAACAGGAATGTATTGATATTTAAATACATTTATAAATACTAGCTATGCACTAGCAAGAGTATGCATGAGCCATCGGTGCTTGGCAAGCATTGGCATGTGGAATGCAACGCTCATCGTATATTTGGATGAGCATGATTAGAGCTGCAGTTGGCATATAAAAAGTACAACAGCTTCTGTGTTTTTTTCATCTCTGACAATCTGGATACAAGCATCCAAAATGTCCGAAGACATGTCTAACCTCCTGGTGTATGATTTAATTCTACATGCCGTGTCCTAGCTCGCTGTATAAAGGCTCATTGTTGCATGCTCTCCATCTCCTGGCAGAGTTCACAGTGAGCTGCTGTTCTCCATATTGTTGTTGGCAGTGATGCCAGGGTGGGGGGGGGAGAGGGGGAGATTCCACTGCTGGGCCGCACCATCTACAGACAGGATGAGGGATAGATGATTCTATGTGTCATTGTCACACTAGTGTTCTCTGCTCACAAGGACACAGCAAAAACGGTCAGGAATATGTTTCACACTAACCACTGTGCTGCTGCGCACTCGGAAAGTGTTGCAATAATATCTGATAACGGAGGAGGGAGAAATGCTGAGTGTTGCAAATTAATCAGGTTCTAAAAGTGACCTTGCTATCAGAGTTGTTCACTCACGGGGCTATTTAATTAAGTGAGAATTATTGAAAATTCTGAGTAAATGTAACATTAGAACAAACCAGCCAAACTAAAAACATAACTGACTTTAACATTTGGCTGTTTTGACCAGATATTTAAACTTTGCTTTGAATTCATTTGCTGATAATTTCCACTTTAGTGCATAACCCTTTGTGTCCTCTATAGATGTATATACAAAATGATATTGGATTAGTCGGCACATGTATAATATAACTGCTCGTTAAGGCATTGAGTGAGAAGGAGGCCACTCAGGCCGCTGTCACTGCAAGCTGTGTGGAGGTTTTACTGGCTTTATTTCTAGAAAAAGTTAGTATTACAATAAAAATAGTGAATAAGCACTATTATCTAAAACAGCAGTTACATTGTTTCATAGTTACGTAGGTTGAAAAGAGACATGCGCCAATCAAGTTCAGCCTTTCTAATCTCTTCCATGATTTTTTTTTTCAGCAACAGCAAAATGGTGACCACAGGAGACCACACAACTAGACTCTTCCATAACTAGTCACTGTGGCTGTATAGGAGTAAGGAGGAATTGTAATGGCTGCGTGTGATAGGGCTGGTGGGTGCATGAGATTGAAGTGGAATGGTGGCAGAATGTTGGCGCTGCATGTCAAGACTTATTGTAAAGAAAAAAAGGGAATTGGGGGCACACCTGGAGCATGCATTTCTCAGCAATGGTGCTGCTGTAGAGACCAAAATGTATAAACTCTACAGACTAGGGAACAGTTTAAAATGTTATAAGGCTGCTTAAAATTACCTACCTCAGCAAACAAATATGGGGATTCAGTTCCACCATATGGTATATTGTCTTACTTCACACCAATATTGGGGTACAGTGAAGTAGTGACCAAAATTTATACACAAATTTTTATGTGTGCGTTGTTCCTTAATCTATATTAAAAGCAATATAGGCCCCCGGGCAAAGCAGTGCACTGAGGCCCTCCCTTCACAACCACTCAGAGAAATAAAAAATTAGATTATTGATAAAATGGGGCTCATATTTATTGGTATCTCCATAAAATCAATGTTTAAACATGTACAGCAGAGAGGAATCCTCACAAACGTTTGGACAATATAACATGAGCCTTGAAGTTAAAAAAAACAAGAGATTCAACTTAAAAATGGTACTCAGTTGGTAAATCATACAGCTGGAGATGGAACAGTACGAAATTCCTTGAATGATTTATTAGTAATCAAGTAATCAACACAAACATTCGAAAATTTCTTTGCAGATAATGGCTTTATAACTGGCATGAAGTCATTGGTTTTCATGATGTCAATAATGAAGTGACTAGTCTACCTATACGGTTTAGTAAAGAGGGTTTGAAGGTTCTGAATACATCTCCTGGAATATAATATTCTAAAGGTTGATAAGCCTATGGGGCCCTTATGCTCGTGGCCCCCGGGCAATGGCCCAGTGTGCCCATGCGTTAAGAAGAACGAGGGGAGGAGGGTGGAAACCTTAGCTGTTAAAGATGTGGCTTAGATGGTATATTCTTTAAGGATATAAGATGTTCTCTGTCTGACTTGTGACCTTGTGCTTCTATACTGTCCAAATTACAAACTAACTTTCAAGTAAATGGACATTTTTTTGTTTTTCTACTAATATCCCTATTACCTTAGGAAATCCCTGAGATAGTTATCACAATGTGTCCTCCCTTACAACATGTTTTGTTGACAGGCTATCAGACACCTCCATTTATACAAATACCAATGTTAATATACATTCATCAATATTCTAAGGAGCCACTGTTATCAAAATGTATTTTATAATAGCATCGGATTGTTGACTCTTTAAACATTTTCCTCAGGTTACACAATAACGTCTACATACAACTGCATAGTAATCTACTCTGCACATTCTATTCAAGTTATCTGAGATCGGTCTGTTGTAGACAGCCAAACTGACAACACAGTCACACCTTTTACCCTGACATGGCTTACCATTATAGTATATCACAGAGAAACAAAATGCAAGCATAAAAAGATTTTTACAAATGGAAACCAACAGAAATATACAAAGAGACACAACCCTACTCAATAGTCATACTTGCATTATCAATAACTGTTAGTCTATGAAATGATTCACTGTATTCCATGTTTATTGCCCAGGAGTCATATGGAGTTTTAACCTATAGCTGTGTAATGGTAATTTCACAAATATAACTACATTGTAACTCCCATCAGTCTTACCTTGCCAGCAGCAATAAGTGTCATTCCATCAAAAGCCTGGAATTACAGCCAGCAAAATCTCGCTGCTGAGTGTAAAACCCATATAATTAAAGAATTCAAATACTCTAATAAAAGGGTATATTGCCAATCTCGGTTCCAAGCAGATGGAGGATGATAGCATTGGCTTCCAATAGTTACTGGGTGCCAGCAACCATAATATAGGTATCAAAATTTTTTAATTACATAGAATCTAAAAAAAGGTTAAAGAAGTACTCCAACCCTTTTTTGCCTTTGTTTTGTTTTTTTACAATGCCTTAAAGGGCATTATTCTTTAGCTCCCCTCCTTCCCATAAACTGTAAAAAAATAAAATGAAGCTATAACTTACCTGATATCCAGACACTCCCAGCCAACATCATTGCTCAACCTGGGAATGAATGCACCTATTGAGGTGATGTGTCCATTCACAAACCCGACCTTATTCCTGCAGTGAAGTTCCATCAAATATTTCTCCACTAAGTAACTACGTATTTTAAAGGACCACTATAATGCCAGGAAAACATACTCGTTTTCCTGGCACTATAGTGCCCTGAGGGTGCCCCCACCCTCAGGGACCCCCTCCCGCCCGGCTCTGGGGAGAGGAAAGGGGTTATAACTTACCTTTTTCCAGCGCTGGGCGGGGAGCTCTCCTCCTGCTCTCCTCCTCCGATCCTCCCCGTCGGCTGAATGCGCAAGCGCGGCAAGAGCTGCGCGCGCATTCAGCCGGTCGCATAGGAAAGCATTCATAATGCTTTCCTATGGACGCTTGCGTGCTCTCACTGTGATTTTCACAGTGAGAAGCACGCAAGCGCCTCTAGCAGCTGTCAATGAGACAGCCGCTAGAGGCTTTGGGGGAAGGCTTAACCCATTGATAAACATGTTTATAAAACAATGGGTTAACCCTAGAAGGACCTGGCACTCAGACCACTTCATTAAGCTGAAGTGGTCTAGGTGCCTAGAGTGGTCCTTTAAGGGATATTTTTAATTTTTAAAGAGAAACTGTTGCTTCTCTGGAAATTACAACAATGACTAAAACATTCAAAACCACTTTTAACTTGTCCTTACCTTTTGTTTTCCCATGTGATGCTCCATATCTTTTAAGTTTACATTACAGTTTTGGCAACTTACATCATTTCTCTTCTTCTGTATACTTTCTCTGTGCAGACTTCCAGGGTCAATGGACAGAGCTTATAACAGTGATTGACAGTGAAGCATCCACATTTGTTAAACATCGAGGATAAGTAAAGTAAATATAAAAATCCTGATACATTCTGTACAGATTGCGTTAAATTAAATCATTACTCCATGGTGACATCTCTGGGTCAAATGACTCATTCAGGCCAGAAGCCATCGATGAATAATGAACAAGTTAAAAAATGAGTCTACTTGCTGGACAGTCTTCCAATATTGAAAGAAGTGTATAGGAAATGAATTTATTACATCATCTTGTGCAAAAAAAAATGCAGTATGGAAAATGTTTTTATATACAGCTTGCATAGATATAGCAGACTCTGGGTGCTTTAAAAAAACATTTTTTTGAGAAGTGAAAAGGGAATTGACACTTTGGGGCCAATATATGGGCTGGGAAAAAAGGACAACTTAAAAAATATTTTCAGATTTGCTATTTTGGTTTGAAATTCACAAATCCTTTCTCAATTCTCTCCCTTTCTCTATTGAATAAACCCCACATTTGCTGGAAGACCTACAGGAGGGAGGAGAGTACAGGGTGACAAAGAGTCTGCTTGCAGAGGAAATAAACAACTTTTTATCACAAGGGAACCGGGAACATTCTGTGGAAATGGGACTGTAATACGACTTGTAATGTTAACCATTTCTTTGTCAAAGACTGCCAGCAAACATATTCCCCCTTTTTAACAGGGAAATGCCTAAATAAAAACTCTATCTCATCAGTACAGTGTTATGTGGAGCAAAACCCTGAATACAAAACAGTGAAGTGATATAATAGATGACTTTTCAGGACCAGGCTGTCTCAGTGTAATGAGATATTGGATATTGGATATTGGGTACTGCAAGATGGTAACCCTATTGATGGACATTTTATGACAAATTAAATATTTCTCAAGAGTCCTTCAAAGATTTTTTTACAAAGAAAAGTCTTGATTGAGCATAGGAACATGTAGAGAACAGCCACAGACAAAATATAGAAGTCTGGTTTGCAAAATACTAAGAGGCAACAGTATGAATTACATGACTTCTTGTTCATTTTATCCTAAGGCAGCCATAAAAATTAAAGACGGAGATGTAAAAAGTTCCAAAGCGGTTTTTGAAGTTGGCTGTCTCCCAGACTTCATCTCAATATATCACTAAAAATATTAAAAAAAAAAAAAGTAAAAATAAAACCCCCAAAACAGCGCTATGGGACACTCCTCCTGTAGAGAGTCACTAGTTCCTTCTGCTTCTCTTTCTGTTTTTCAGTTATTGTCTCAGGCATGTTTGATAAATTTCCGGATTCTTTGATCTCCTGCAATACCTGTGATGCTTCTCTAAGTTGTTGCACTGCCTCATTCAGAAGTTCCTCTGCATTAACTTCTGGCCCATTGCCCTCATTACTCTTTATCAACTGACCCTGCAAAACCTGGTTTAGAAGGGTCTCAGTTTTTTCCCTTCCACTAGCCAGCTTCATCTCCATCTCATACAAGTAGTCCTTAGTGAAATGCAACACATTGGTTTTCTGCCTGTTCTTACTTCCATCATCTGTGTTAGCTTCTGACAGTAAATCTCCCATGGAAGATGATCTTTGTTTTGTGTTCAAAATATTCGATGCGGCTAAATTGCAAGTCATGTGGGGTACGGTGTCTGATACTTCGGAGGTCTCTAAAACTCCATTTAGTTGTTCAAATGATTCTTTTTTCTCAAGAGTTTCATTTGTCTGGATTTCATCAATTTCCGACTGTTCTTCTACTTCTGCCATAGTAGGCATTTGTTCATCACTGCTTTCCCCGGACAGCTCTTGAAGATCATCTATTGTATCAGCTATTTCTTGATCATCTGGTTGGTTAGATTCACCCTTACTTTCACCATCAAGACTGCTTAGGCTATGTTTCAAGTCCTGAGCTTCCATAACTTCAGATAACACTTTTGGAGGAGGACTTGGTGATCTTCTACCTTCATCAGAGTCAAAGTTTACCAGGTTCTCTTTGCTTCCTTTCTCCTGTGACTTGATACCTTCTAACTCCATATTACTGGATGAAGATCCCACCCACTTAATCTTCATTTTATCAGATAAGATCTTTGGAGGAGGTTTAGGAGGAGTGTTTGTGGTAACTTCCAGATTTTCAATGCTAAGTTTCTTGAGTTCAGGTTTCATTACATCGTTTGTTTCTTCTGCCTCTGACAAAAGCTTCTCTCGGGCATAAACACATTCTTTGAGTGTTTTTGGTGGGGGGGATGGTGGGCGAGGCATCTGAGAGTCACTATCTGTTGTGTTTGGGTGGAGCACCTCAGTGGATGTAGGAGGAATTGGCTTGGAGGGGGGCATTGGAATTTTAAAAGTCTTTTTCTCCTTCTCTTCAGGTTCCTTTTGCTGTTCAGGCTTTTCATAGATGTTAGTTACCACAGAGGGACCACTATTCACTTCTTCAGGGATGCGAGGGTCCACAGAGGGACCAATGTTCACTTCTTCAGGGATGCGAGGGACAACTGTTAAAACGTCAGTCTTCAAAATATCAAGGCCTAGCCTTAAAGAATCGTCTGATGCAGCCTCTGCTACCTAAAAGAGCAAGTTAAATTATTGTCTGAAAATACCAGGACAGATATAGAAGGAATAAGCATGTGTGTCTGTTTGTGAGGGGTGCAGTGTGTGTGTGCGCATGTGAGTGGTGCACTGTGTGTAACGGGGTGCATTTTGTTTGTGAAAGATGTAGTGTGTTTGTGTGTGTGTGTGTGTGAGAAGTGCAGTGTGTGTTAGGGGGGCAATGTGTGTGGGGCAGTGTGTGAGGGGTCAGAGTGTGCATGAGGGGTACAGTGTGTGTGGGGGGGGCAGTTTGTATGTATGAAGGCACAGTGTGTGTGTGGGGGGTGAGATAGTGTGAGTGAGCGGTATACTGTGTGTGTGTGTGTATGGGGGGCAGTGTGTGTGTATCGGGGAAGTTATTGTGGGTCTGTGGGGGCAGATAAATATACACTTTTTTTAAAATGAAAAAACAAACAAAATTTTTATATTCGCCTCTCCTTTTACCGTTGCCTGGAGAGGGAGGGGAAAACTTCCCTTGCTCAGAGGCATGTCCAACAATGCAACCTGGCCAAGTTTACAGTAAGTTTATAAACGCTTATTACATTCTTTTCAAAGATTTTCTTGCTTTAGTTTTGTTTGTATATTTGCTGTTTCCACAAAAAAAAGTGTCAAGTGAAAATAAAATAGAGAAGAGCTCCGCCAATCTGGATTTCATGAAGAATACCTTTAAGCCACCACAAGGGGGACCTATCAATGTTTTAACCTCAAACTGGGTTTTTGGCAAAGTAAATGCTTGACAAAGATACTGTTCGGGGTTAAAAAAATTGGTTAGTCTCCTCTGTAGAGACTTAAGAGTATTCTTCATGGCATCCTCATATAAACAGAATTGTGGCGAAAGTAACCTTGCCACGTGTTCTTGGAGGGGCCTGTTTGCCAGCCTCCTGCCTCAGGACTATAAGCCATGCACAAAGACTCATAAAAGACATTGTTCGTGTCTTTTTGGCTATTCTGTTCGGTAGTTTGCATTCCCCTCCTATTTTAACATTGTACCGTTCGACTATCGAACAACCGCACGAACCGGGGACCACCCGGAAGCTTGTTAACACCTATTAACAACTTGGAACGTTTCTCACCGCAGTGTTCTAATTGTTCATCTGGGTGGCCGCAATTCCTATGGACAACCACGAGGTGGCGGCCATCTTGTTCACATGAAAGCAGGCAGCGGTGTTTGGGAATGAATCTCATGGAACCAAAATCGGACACAGAAACTCCAGAACACCGCTGGACTTTAATCATGGCCTGCGTTTGGTTCTATACAAGTTAGAAGGGCACTGTCCGGTGGAATCGTTCGTCTGGATGAGGAGAACAAGCTCCAGGATAAGAACATTGACTATGTTCGGTAGTTTATTAGTTTTTAAACTACTGAACTAGACCGACATGGAACCATGCGTGCGGTCGGTCAAAAATACGACTTCCAGGAAATTCCTGAACACCTGAACTGATCTGGGTTATTTTTGGATATGTTGGTAACCCAGATCAGGGCTAACAGGGGATGTAACTTTGTGGGGGTTGGTATGTTTTAAAGGTATTTCTGGGGTTTTATAAAAATGTATGTTTTTTTCTGTGCTTGGAGATAATTGGATTAGATTAGTACAGTTCCTGATCCAATTATCTCCCAGGCACAGAGGAGGGATTATCTGATTATGTATGAGAGTGTCATGTACTTTAACAACTTTGTTATTGGTCTGTAACTTTGTACTGTAGTCTTCCATCAGGTCCATTTTTGCATTGAGCATCGGGGAAGCGCCTCTAGCGGCTGTCAGGGAGACAGCTACTAGAGACTGGATTAACCCTGCAATGTAAACAACTGCTATGTTTACAGCTGCAGGGTTAAAACCTGGGGGACCTGGCACCCAGACCACTTAATTGAGCTGAAGTGGTCTGGGTGACTATAGTGGTCCTTTAAGGGTACCAGATTAGGAATAGATTTAAGAAAAGGGTCTTTTATTATTTTACTGTTGTAGCTGTTTAGTAAATAGCTCCCTGATTTAGTATTCTACTCAAATGGTGGTTGACTTATTTAGATGTACCATATAAGGGAGCTATATACTAAACAGGTCCCTATTTGGTATCCTTAAATATGGAAATCCCACATAAGGGACCCATTTTAGGGAGCTACCTACTATACAGCTGAAAAAAACAAAATTAAGAAAATGCCCTTTTTCTTAATTTTTCTGTTTCAGTGCTAGAGTAAATAAGTCCCTAACTTGATAACTTTATTAAACAAGTAGATCCAAAATTATGGTTTTGATTCCTCATGAATTAGCTTTGAATTTGATTTGTAAAGAATTTGAAAGCTACCAAATTGCCAAACTTGTCTAAATTCGAAACTAAATGAATTGTACATGTCTAATGAACAGAGAAATGAACCATGAAGGGCAAATTCTAAACCTGGAATGGAATAGAATGTTTTGTCTGACTGTCCCACCTATACAAACTTTCCTTAATACTGGATGTTATAAATATCATCCATTGTACTGCATTGTACAACTCTGGAAGCTCATATTGCCAAATTATGAAATAATAAACATTAGGCTTCCCAGGGTTTTTCTGCTGAAGTAACTTACTTCTTTGAGGTGTACCCTAGTAGGTGGTCTTCTCTTCGCAGCTCCCATCTTTACTCGGTCCCTAGTCACATGCTCTAAAGAAATGGTGTTGTCTACCTTTACCTGTAAAAATGGCTTATTTTTAATCTGTGTCCTAAAAAGTATCACCTTAAACACATACAGTTCTAGCAAGGAAAGAAATGTACACTTCTGAGCTGAAAATGTCATGCAAATACAAGCACATTTTAAAAGCTAATGCTAGTTGCATGTATCATACATTAATATTTTCTATAATTCAATACCTCATCCAAGATTTTGTTTTTGCCTCTGCTTATTCCCTCATTCAGAGCCTGGATCCATGTATCCCTCTCTTCTGCATTTTTGGCCTGAAATTTGACATCTTGCACCTAGAAGAAAAATGATCATCACTGTGACCTTGCCCTCAAAGTAGCTCACTCTACCTACAGCTCTCTACTTTTTCCCCTTCATACCCCTATTCCGTTCCTGTATTGTATGTATCCAGCCTCTCCTCTATCTTGTTCCTGTGGCCTTTCCATCCAGTTCTTTAACAACAGTGTTGTGCTTTTTTATTTCCACGTTGTTGACTCCACCCCTACTCTATCTTCATTATATTATACTTCCTCTATGTCTCCTTTAACTGATCAACAGAAACACTGGATTCCACATTTATTTTTCCAGTTATATCCCTTTGATCCAAAAATTCCTCTTATTTTAGCTGAAATTTATTGGCCTTGTTTTTGAGTAGGAGAGAGATGCTTGTAATTATATACAGTTTTGACTTGCACAATATTTATCTAATGCAAAAGTCTGTCTTTTATGAAGTTTTTTCCTGGAATTACAGAAGTTGATATTTTCTGAATTACCCTTTACTCCCCAAGTCCATAAAAGGAAATGTTTATAATCTGACACATGTTACGCATTAAAAAATAACACAACATAAATAGTGTTGCGCTTGAAATAAAATTGCACAATTTCCATTGTTATTTCCAATATACTTGTGTAAATAAAATATAAAAAATAATGCTTTTAGACACCAATTCCTCAGGGTTTTGTGTAATAGAAAAAATACAAAGTGCAAAACACAGTGCTTGCTGTATAAATAAAACTCTTTAACAATCTCCCCAAAAGGGTAAAACTCACATATGCCAGAGCATATTCCCTGGCTGAAGCCCACATGGGTTGGGCAAAACACCTCACAGGGAAAAAAGTGTATCACGTGATCAGGAAAACGCTCTGAGATCGGAGAGCGTAGACTACTTGAAATTGGTGTTTATTTTAAATTTAAAGCAAATATCGTGAGTTTCATGTGTTGTGAGCTCACAACATTTTAACGTAAGTGTTTTAAATCTTTTGGGGCAAAAATAAATTGGTATTACACCATTCCGGACCCCTTTGTTTCATGTTTTATTGCTGCAGCACATTCATCTTAAAGAGACAGAAACATGTGGGTTATGCAACATTTAGCCAGAGCCAGGGAATAGGCTCCGGTATATGTGAGCTTTACCATTTTGGGGGGGATTATTAGCTGATTTTATTTATACAGTAAGCACAACCTTTTGCACTTTGTTGATTTTCTAGAATGCACAACCCTGAGGAATTAGTGTATATAAGTATTATTTAGTGTATATAAGTATTATTTTTTATTATATAATTTACACAATTGTATTTGAAATAACACTGAAAAGTGTGCACTTTTATTTACAAGCACTTCTTGTGTTTTTGTTGTTGTTGTGTAACTATGCAGAGTGTTTGATGCTTATTTTCAGTTCTGCACTTTTTCTAGCACCTTAAAAGGAAGCATCTGATACTTTATTGGAATTAGTGGGTTAATGTGTTACTCAATCCTCCCAATGTGAGAAGTGAGAGTGTTTTGAACCTTTCATGTGATATCAAAATAGTCACTCTCCCAGAATCCTCTTGTAACTTAATCAGATTGTTGTAATACAGGAAACACAATATTTGTCATAGGCTGATCAGTTATTTACAAATACGATCTACATTAACTGTAAGCATGAGGTGATGAATGATCTTAGAGGTGTTTGACCAAGAAGCATGGACAAGTAAAGTTGATGATCATTTGTACTTTCTGTGATACATTCTAGAATTATGCTGAGTTTGCTCTAATCAACACACTGTTTTCCATAACAGTAGCAAACACATGGCTTTATTATCTTTGTGGGAGGGTTGTCGTGTAGGATTATGATTAGCTGAGCTGTACAATATTGTCTACAATAAAAAAAAAAAAAAAAACTAAAGTCACTCTCTCTGTGCAGGGTAATCTAGATGAGTTCTAGAAGAGAGCGACAAAGTTGGTGGTGGTTAATGAGGAATTATCTCCCATCTATAACCCCTTGGCTGTCGGACCATTATCAGTAACCATTAAAAACATAGGGATAGTGATAGGACTGCTTCTAATGAATGTATTCAGTTTTCCATCCAGACAGTCACAGTTTGACAGAGGCTAGATCATCCCACCTACCCCTTAGAATCACAAACTTAATTATATAGGTGAGACTATCAACTTAACTGAGACCTAAACATTTGATATTTCGTCCTCTCACTAAGCAATCTGGGAGCAATATTGTTCCTATGATGACTGTTACAATTCTTCTATTAGTCAACATGGAACAAATGAGGCACTTATGGGTTTATTGCAGATTGGAAAAATTATCCATACTGGAGAATTTTCACAACTTTGACATTTTTTGTCTATATTTTTCAAGATGGTGTTCCATTAACCACAATTCACTGTTTATTGAACAAACCCACAACTTTCTGTATGTACTTTAATAGGTATCTGTATGTAAGATCCTAACTTTATTTATATCTGAACATCTACTTGTATCATTTCCTGTAATCGTTCGCTCTGCCGCTACTGCATTTCACAGCTATCCAGGTACCTGCAAAAATAAGACTTGTCTGCTTAAAAACATCTCTGGTTTGATTATAGGGGCTATGTGGCTGTCAGTGGACTCCTATATGCTGCTATCTATTTGCAGCGCTGGTAGCTGAATCCTTTCTATTTTAGATTTCGCTCCTGTCAAGCAGCTGCTAATATTTAAGTTGTGTCTAAAGACGGTGCAGGCGGACCTCTTGCTCACACTTCCTGATGGGCTGCTCTTCTGAGAAGTCACCTCTTCACTATGAGTCACACACTTTGCAGAAGGACCTTGAATGTTATAGAGTTAACCCTTTTTTCAATAACTGTTATGAAATCTTTATCATGTAATGAGCATGGTAAAACCAAAGCCCAATGGCCAGTGTACACCAGAAACATGTTCCTCCCTTTGCAATAATATACAATATACTGCTACTCCCCTTCCCCCATGAATTCTATTCTAGAAAATAAGGAAGTGAATCTTTCAAATCCTACCTTAGTTCCTGGGGAAGGGATAAGTGTAAAATGTCTTTTGCGTTTAAGGAAGGCTTTCTGATCTTGACATCTCTCGTAACTTCCAAGCTCCAGTGTTTCCAGACATTTTTGTTCATCCTGCAAAATTATGTTGCTATTATCATTATTAATAAAGTACTATCATATTCAGCAGCATTGTACAACTGGTGAAAGAGACAAGTCATTTCAATAAAATAACGTTCACTTAATGGTGATAAAGACTCTGCTCTAGAGGTTATATCAATAATTAGCAGTGCCTTTTTGCTTATTTCATATGTGGTCATTCTACTGCAGTATAATACCACAATGCCCTACTATTACTGAATGGCTCTTTGAGGTCTGCCTGGAAAGTATCCAGCCGTGTAATATGAAAAATAGAAAAGAAGAAAGATACAAGATTCAACAAACATTGTACTTAGGACAATGACGCCTCAGTCGTCTTCAAAATAGGCACCTTGGAACCTCACACAGTTCCCCAAGTGTCTCTTCCACTGTTCAAAACACTCTGCAAAATCCTTTGTTGGGATCACCATCAACTGCTTCGCCGTATTTACCTGAATCTCATCGACAGTCTGAAATCTCTTCCCTTTCAAAGGTGATTTTAGTTTTCGGAAGAGTCAGAAGTCGCAAGGCCAATCTTTAAACAGATTATCAACAGCGTTTGTGCCACACTTTTATTTGCGCTGCACTCATTGCATCGTCCCTGGAAGCCTTCTGAATCATCCTAATAGTTTACGCAGAAGAATGTTCAAGCTTAATGTAAAATTTGATGCAGATTCTTTGCTCTACTCGCTCAGTTATTTTGAATGTGATGACACATGCTCTAGCGCCCCCACGGACCAGCACAGTGAAGTTGTTATTGTTAATGCATGCGCATTCCAGGCCACTCTCCTTGGCTGCCAGGTTACATTGATGTTGCGCAAACCGTTCTCGTTATAATAACAATGGCCGAACTTTTTCCAGACAGACTTGTATAGCTTGCAGTTGGCTACCTGTATTTTATAGATGACTAAATTCAAAAGACGTTGGGGGTTTATTAACTAAACAGAATTCAACAGAGTAACTAACAGAAATGTGGCAAATCGACATCGTGCTTATTTTTATACACTGCCAGGTTTATACACTGAACACAGAATAGTGTACAATAAGCTAGGAAATGACTCATTTTAGGTTAACATACATTGTTAAATCACGAAATTTAGCATTTAGTCGGTAAATCTTGTATCATTTACCAGTAAACATATTATTGTGTTTTGTCAAAACATTTCCCATTTAAATGTGTGCTAAATTATTTTTTAAAATGTGCAATGTTTTTGAACTCCACTACTCATTACAACTAAACTCTGATTTTAGTGTTTACACCACAATAAGTCTCTCGTGAACGATTCCGGTATGTGTTGGCTGTCATTTTGTTGCTTAGTAGCAGTGAGAGACCTGCTCTTGGCTTGGACAGTAAGTGGTTTGTTAATTTGTATTGCATCACTAGAACACAGCATTCTTTTGACATATTATAGTCTTAAGTAGGCTGTAATTCACGGTTATTCACTCAGCTGGCAACTGAAGTAACTAACAAGGGAATTACAATTTTTAGGGAAAATGAGCTGAAATGGAATTTTTTTTTTAGCTCAACTCTTTTTCCAGCCCAGCTGTTTTGGCCTTATGTATGCAATGCTTGTGTCAGTTCTCCACACTTGGTTAAACAGGAATGGAAAGGGAAGCAGATTTAAAAAGGAAAGCCACCAATGTGACTTAATAATATTGTTAACCTGCAATGCGTACCAGTATAAGAGCCCATTTTGTTCATAGTGCCTCAAAGCCTACTCTTTAACTAGTGTTGTGACAAGGTATGACTGAAACAAGCCCCCTCCCCACGTACTAATTCTAAATTTTATTTACTTTGTGAGCCATGACGCTTTTACTGAGCAGTAAGAGTTTTGTGTACTTTTATACCCACATGTGTTCCTGCACAATAGACAAGAGCACCTATCACTGGTAAATATCTGGCAAGTTACCCAGAACTGACAGGTGTCAACCCAGCTTATCTCACATATGCAAGCTTTTGTAGCACTGATATTTTCCACAATTTCTTGCCAAGATTCTATTCACAAAAAATGTCTCACTTGGCAGAAGGGTTGGGTGTCTGAAATTCCTGGCAAAGTGGAGACCAGCGGTGACAGCACAGGAAACACACCCACTTCACACACCCTCGCTATGGGAGCTTTAGGACTTGGCCTTCAAAATATTTCCTCAGGCTCTACAAAATATCATCTACATAGAGAGAAAACAGCGTTTAAAAACCTATTCACTAAACTACAAAAAGTGGAAAATTAAGAACTGACCACTAGGATTTAGGCCAAAGCAGTCAAGTTCGAAAAAAAATCTCCCAACAATGCTATTTTAACAAACTCGTCAATGGCATATTGGAAAACTAGATACATTTCAAAACTATCCTTCATGGTGAAACAATGTATAATTCTGTTGTCAGAACACCTCAGTTCACACATTAGTAAATAATCCCATTAGTCTTCTTTATGAGGCAGCATCATTCCCAGTGATGCCTACACTCCCCCTAATTGATAGCAGGAACATGTATCAATTTGTTCAGTGGTGCAGTGAGATCTCTAGCTTGCCTTGAAATTACTTGTAACTCACCTCGCTTTCACACAAGAGAAGCTGTGTTTTAAGTAGCAGAATGTAGCGTTCTTTCCACAGGCCCAGCAACCCGCTACTTCTCTTTAACCATCCAGCCTTGACGGGAACCTGAGACACTGGAGTGGTGTTACTGTTCCCCTTCACACCCTGGGGACAAAGAGTCCAAACTGAAAGATTAATATGCATTTTGGCAAGACTACTGACATTGAACTAATGTGAACATGGAATAGTTTTAAGTGGAAGCTGTCACGTTTAAAATAAGACAATTTTTCAATCCAGTCCATAAAACATTTACTTCTGGTAAACATTTTAATATAGTACATAGTATACATATATATATATATACATATATATATATATATATATATATATATATACACACCATTTTGTTCCAAGCCATGTTTTACTCTTTTAATAAAAAGTTATCAGTGAATGAAAATGGAATTCATTTTTATTTATCAAAAAGATTTAAATTTAAAGGAACACTATAGTCACCTAAATTACTTTAGCTAAATAAAGCAGTTTTAGTGTATAGATCATTCCCCTGCAATTTCACTTCTCAATTCACTGTCATTTAGGAGTTAAATCACTTTGTTTCTGTTAATGCAGCCCTAGCCACACCTCCCCTGGCTATGATTGACAGAGCCTGCGTGAAAAAAAAACTGTTTTCACTTTCAAACAGATGTAATTTACCTTAAATAATTGTATCTCAATCTCTAAATTGAACTTTAATCACATACTGGAGGCTCTTGCAGGGTCTAGCAAGCTACTAACATAGCATGGGAATAAGAAAATCTTAATTATACAGAACTTGCAAAAAAGAAAGCCTAAATAGGGCTCTCTTTACAGGAAGTGTTTATGGAAGGCTGTGCAAGTCACATGCAGGGAGGTGTGACTAAGGTTCATAAACAAATGGATTTAACTCCTAAATGGCAGGGGATTGAGCAGTGAGGCTACAGGGGCATGTTCTATACACCAAAACTGCTTCATTAAGCTAAAGTTGTTCAGGTGACTATAGTGTCCCTTTAACAATGCATTTAAACTTTCCAACTAAATGTTATTTACAAAAGAAAACTTAAAATAGAAATGGCTGTATAAACGCGGGTACTCAAATTTCAGTTGTTTTTTTCTATTTTAACCAATACAGATATTATAACAAAGATACATAAAATCATAAAATAATATTAGATAATTTAGAAGCCAACTATTACAATTCACTTAAAGTAACACATACCATACAAAAGGGACATATAATCAAACACAAAGTACCCTAGTAGAGAGAAATACTAGGACATGGGTAATATGAGTGCAAGAAGACAAATATGACAGAGGAGGGATGATGAGAGAGTAGGACGACTATGAAGAAGAGAAAAGGTGGAGGTCTGCTAGAAAGATGGAGTAGAACACCGTCATAGCAACAGGCACGATATTCCATCATTACCTTACAGAACGAGTTCATATATAACAAAAACACTCATCGAGAGTGCTGGGGTGGGGAAACTTGGTTTGTGACCACATTTTGTCATTGGTTTGCAGAGTATTATATGTATTATGAGCCACACATTCCAACTCAAAGGTTTGCGATCGACTGAGATTGTCAGGATTGTTTTCCAATCTCGGGGCCCTGGAGGAAACATGTGGCAGAAGGCAACAACAGGGCACAAGGGCAGAGCTATTACTATTATGATTTAGAATGACGTGAAGCACTTTTTCCAGAGTGGTAGGACAGGACAATCCCATATCATACCAAACACTAATGATTTTTATAGTTAATCATGTAATAAGCTACCCACATTGACACAAGCAGTGCATTAGGGAGACAGGTAGGCCATGCATTCTCCCCCCAAAAAATTATTTTAATAGAATTTGTTCAGTTAATTAAACTACACTTCAACATCAAAACTATCTTCGATATGTGCAGAAGGCTTTTGATGCGAGATTCTAAATAGGTTAATTCTCTGGTCAGTGAATTGTGGTAAGCTGACAAGCAGATTTGCAAACTTTAAATATAAAAAAACATAGGAGTAACAAAAGTAATAGAAACCACATGTACTGGATTAAAAATGTTCTTGTTTTTAGTACACATGGTAGTGTATCCTGCAAAAAAAAAAAAAATATTATTACAGCAAAATTCAGTATAGGTTAATGTCAAGCAAATTTGTTCAACAGATCTAGGCACAGGCATAAGTTTAATGGGCCACTTTAAGCACCAAAACAACTTTAATTTAATGAAGCGGTTTTGGTGTATAGATCATTCTGTTGTATTTTAACTGCTTAAGCCTTTGGCATTTAGTATTTAAATGTCTTTGTTTATGCAGCTCTAGCCACACCTCCCCTACATGTAATCTGCACAGCCTCACTACACATTTCCTGTAAAGAGAGATCTCTGTTCCGCACTGCCCATTTCTGTGCATATTTTATGTCTGTTGCCATATTTTCCATCTCTCGCAGAGCCTGCAAGTTGATGATATGCTCCCCCCCATCCTGAGCGCTCCCTCTCACTTCTCTCCATTTTAGTCGTTATTTTTTTATTTTAATAAAAATCCCTCCCACTATAACTCCCCACACAATCTCCACGCTGGTTCAGCATGTGCATGCCTGGTGCTGGATTAAGGTAAGTAAAAACTTCTGTTTTAACTGTTTAAGGCGGGCACCTAAGTAGAAATGCTCAATAGGGCAGTCTGAATTAAAATAACAAAAACTCATGATTAAAAAGGATTACAGTAACCCTTTAAAAACTTGTGGAAGCTGCAGTTCTTATGAAGCTGGAGGAAACTAACAGGGTTGTTCACTAAAGTTCACTAAACGTCATGGTGAATTCAAAGTGATTTTCAAATTTAAGGTCAAGACAGCCAAACTTGAAAAAGTCTCTAAGTCAGCTATGTTTTCAGATCTGCTACTCTAACCTTCAATTTGAAATTCGGTTTAAATTAATCTTGAATTCTCAAATTAGTGACTAACTCTGTAACTGTCTCTTCATAGGGAAATAGAGGCTTATCATACATTTCAAGTGATATTTGTCAAGGAACCTAGTGCTCAGTTATGCCAACATTTATTTATGTTTGCATCTAAACACCCTATGCTTACACATGGACATATCTAAGTGAAGGATGGACACCATGAGGTGCAAGTGACAGACAAATTGCTCACAATATCACTGTATAGGAGTTACTCAATAATTAGGCCCAGGTGATATTCTCTAAAAGTGAGATATATCCCACTACCCTTCCCTGTAGTAGTAAGGCTTTCTCTCCTACCTATTTAGCCTAGTGGCCTTTCCTACCTCTGATCTCTCTGCCCTTGGCTGGGGAGTGTCCAGTAGACAGAATCATTATATTCTGCTCTTTTCCAAAAGTGAGTCCTTGGGGGCTGGCCTGCTAATCAACCCATTTACCAACAGAGAGCTCTATGCCCTTTTCCAGCAGAGGTGATTGGTTCTTCTGACCCTCCTCCCCGCCCCCCAACAGACATTGCTGAGATCAATCTATGTGGGTCCATTTGGTGGCTGTTTTGACTCTCTTTACCCACAACACAGAAGAGGAAGGTCTTTCTGGTAAGCTACACTGGCCTGCAAGGCACACACAAAGTCATGGGGGATGCTAGGAGAGCTCTGTGACAGTATGGCACAGTTCAGCAATTGCTGAACTCCGGATATTAAAAATAACTGTATGGACAAAGGTGGGAGACAGTAAAATAATAGGTTTACTAAATAAAGGGATATTATTTCAGCATGGTGTATGGATGTGAGGGGCATTAGACGTTCTAGGGGGTGAAGTTATTTACTGTTTTTTTCCGGTGTGTATTGTCTCCTATTCCAAAGGTAATTCAAATGTTATGCCAAAATTTGTAAACTTTCAAAATTGCTGTCTTTCTGAATTTTTCAATTTTATTTTTCTAGTTTAGCCATTTTTTTTAAAGTTAATTCTAAAATGGTTAGTCCTGTGGAGCTTGTTCTCTAAACAGCACATTTTAGTGAACTGAAAATGAATGAGGTTGTTTTGGAATAGAGGTGCTTCCTCTGAAGCCTTGCTGTACTAGTAACTGTCACACTTAAAAAGAAATTTAATAATTGGATCTATTTGTTGCCCTGTGCCAGCATGCAGTTTGTTGATGCCAAGCCACATGGCAATACCTCTACAAGTAGTATTTGAATAAACAAGTCATTACGCTGAATGACTAAACCATAGGAAGTTTATACTGATGTGACAAGTAGTTTTTGGTTGTTTTTTTTTTTTCAACAGAGTGGCCCTAAGTTTAGATGATTAAATAAACATGGAGCAAAAAATATTTTTTTTAGACGGTTTCAAACGTAAATTCACTTTTTAATCGTACATTTACCTCTTCTGTTTTTAGCAAGCCTCATATTTATTTAACGTGTTGATAAATAGTACCGTCGGTGTGATCTGTTCACACATTTTAGTTCTGAATTTGCATGTTTCTTTATTTTCCTAATAGAGTTTTTAAAATCATCTGTAATATTAAAAGGACAGTCAACATATCAAAGCTGTGTAGTGCTTTTGGTGTAAAATGTATACATACCTCTCAACACTGGGAGGTATGCAGGTTGAGACAGGCCCTTGATTGGACCATATAGCTCATGAGGATGTCCTGCTTCATTTAGGAGACTAAAAGTCGCCTAACCACATGGAAGTTCCTCTGGTCTAGAGGCTATCTAGTAGACGAGTTAATCCTGGGAGGTAATTATTGCAGTTTATTAAAAATGCAATAATTACCACTGCAGGGTTAAGGGACGTTGGACACTGCACCCAGACCACTTCCATGAGCTGAAGTCTGGGTACCTAAAGTGTCCCTATATAAAGAATAATAAAGGGAAACAATATAAAAAAATTAAAGGCACACTAAACTGGTTCATGGATTGCGGGATAAAACTTACCAGGAAATGTTAAAGGATCTTAACATGTATAGCTTGGAGGAAAGACGAGACAGGGGGGATATGATAGAAACATTTAAATACATAAAGGGAATCAACACAGTAAAGGAGGAGACTATGTTTAAAAGAAGAAAAACTACCACAACAAGAGGACATAGTCTTAAATTAGAAGGACAAAAGTTTAAAAATAATATCAGGAAGTATTACTTTACTGAGAGGGTAGTGGATGCATGGAATAGCCTTCCAGCTGAAGTGGTAGAGGTTAACACAGTAAAGGAGTTTAAGCATGCATGGGATAGTCATAAGGCTATACTAACTATAAGATAAGGCTAGGGACTAATTAAAGTATTTAGAAAATTGGGCAGACTAGATGGGCTGAATGGTTCTTATCTGCCGTCACATTCTATGTTTCTATGTTTACTATACGCACCCAGACTTCTTTATCTCTTATTTAATGAAGTGGTCTGGGTCCAATGTCCCTGTAGTTTTAACTGTACAATTGCAAATTTTGTTTACAGTACAAGGTTTAATTGCCTCTAGTGGCAGTCTACTGATATTGATAATATTTTGCTGCGCACGCGCACTAGGCTCCCAATGCTTTCTTATGAGAAAGAATTGGATTGGCTGAGATAATCGTTCTCGATTTCATACATGGAGGTGGGAGCACCTGTAGGAAGAGCACTGCTACGTGGGAGAAAAGGTAAGTAGACTACCTTTCAATGCACTTGAAGGTGGGGCTGGTAAACTAAACGGCTAGAGGACACTATTGCTAACACTATAGTTTTCCTTATAATGAATAACAATAGTGCATTTAACAGTGCAAAAAAAAAAAGTATAAGAAAATAATATATACCTTAAGGATCCTAATGAACGTTTACTTTAGTAATTTGCAAGAATTGCTGCTATAAACCCACCTTCTTGCTCAGCTTCCTATGGGTAAGTCTATGTTGCACCTTTCTTTACAAAAACACAAAGGACAGATATGCAAAAAAAAGTGCCAAAAGTTTTGGTTAGGTAATAGAAGTTGCGCCATTGCTTCTGTTATCTTGCTCAGTTATTTATTTTATGTCTTTTCATCACAAACTACGGAAGAGACCTGATGAGCAGGTGTTAAAAGACTGGAGGAGCAGGTGTTTATAGGATTTGCTCAGCACTCCCATTAAATACCAATAAAAGTTATCCAGAAAAACGCTGAAGGCAGTTCAAATTATCACCAGTTTTATTCACTAAAGTGAGAATTGTTAGGAATTCAAATCAAATTTAAAATTTCAGGCCAAAATATCCAAAATAGAAAAATCTTCCAAGTTCAGCTTCTTTATATTTAATTTTTAAATTCGCTTTGAATTCCTGATAATCATCACTTTATCTGCATGCACATGTGCTTCCCGAGAAAAGCATTAAACTCCATATGTGCACATGTGAACTAACGCACCCAAACCTATCTGCCACCATTTCATCATAGGATCACAGATTCTCAAAATCCTCTCTTAACTGCCCCTCTGTTGAATGTGACAGGAGAATAGTTTATATGCGGGGGAAAAAAACACCCCTTCTTATTTTCCCCACCAAATAAAATACCCACCTGCCCCCTTACTCCTAATTATTAGGTTTAAAGTAATAAACTTTAAAATAATCTAGTAAAAGGATTAACCAAGGTAAAACATTATATGTGTATAATTGTCACTGTGTCACGTAAGAGGAATAGAATCTCTCCCCACGAGAATGGATTCTGTGATAACAGTTTCTATGTCAGACTGAGATGAGGACATGCTATGGATAAGAGCAAGTAACATGACAAAGGGAAATCACACAGAGGAAGTCCGACACATAATGTGAAACAGACAAATATAGAAGTAGGAAGATGTTTTATAGAGAAGTAAGATGAGCTAAACAGAGAAGATATAAGGAGAGGCAGACTTTTTTTAGTCCGTTTCATCTTCGCTTATCTAGAGCGAAGATGAAACATATAGGATCGTATATAGTATATGAGACATTCATTCTGCTCTGCTCTGTGATCTGATCTTATCTAATGAATTCCTGTTTAAGGGATCTGTAGCTAAGCATCATGTAGTTGCATTCATCAGATACAATAAATGGACTGCTTAGTAAGCTGATGGTAGCCCTTTGATATACCTATTTATAGCTTTGTATGTGTATTTTAGCAGGCCCATAGTACATACATTTTACGTGGGCATACCCAAATAGTTGTGCATAGCAAGCGGGCTATGCTAATGTATATCTGCCACTATACTGGAAAGGTCAAATAACACATGTACATTGTAGTAAAATGTCAAATAGACATACCTCCCAAGTACCCTGTTTTGGAAAATGTTTAAAGATGTGAAGTATATGAGTGTATCAGATAGTGGAATAAAACTCCCGCAGAGTGCACGGGGGAGGGCTGGTGATTTTGACATGTCACATGGACCAGTATACAATATATAGATTAGTCAGATGGATGCTGCTAGAGTTGCAGAGTGTCATGTCATTTATGTGCTGCACTCTCTATCAGCATTACCTGTACATCATAATGGAATACTCGTAGGGAGCTGTGCATAACTAAGAGACATAATCTTATTCCCGTGACTGCACCATCACCAGTAAGAGCAGACATAAATATGAATGTCAGTCTGGTCAATCCCGGGTGATAAAGTCCACCAGAATGTATCTCAATGAGCAAGTCCAGACTTGGAGAACATTGGGATTGCGGTTGACCAGTCCATTCACACACCTACACATTGCTGGGCTAACAAAGCACCTCCCTAATCCTGCCTGCTGTCTCATTCCTGCAGTACTGTGCCAACAGGACTCCGAAAAACCCCCAGTTATCTTTATTGTGTATGAGTGTATAACAGGAGCTTCACTCTAATAAAGGTATTCATGATGTGAACAAGTGTATCGCAGATTTCGCCAACAAACCGTAATATCCATTGTTCAGGTTTGTATCATATTTAGTCTACCACACTTTTTAAATGGAAACCTATAAAGGAACACTGAGGTTGATATTAAATACATTTTACATTTTTTAAATAAATTATTTAGATTTTTCAAATGAGTGGGGTAAAGAATAAAGAAGAGGGGTGGGTTCATGTTGGTAGATTACAATCATATCATTGTCATGAGGATAAGTTGATACACATAAGAATTCAACTGAAAGCCTCCATACATATATCATGGGTACGTTGCTTGTGTGGTAGGGTACAGACTGGTACATGGTACATTGTTTGGGTCTAGATACATTGTTGCTAGTATCGGTCTTTGTGTGAACCCATTTCCTTGTGTCGGTCCCTGGTGAAGCGGGGCTAGGCATTGCAGAGTGAGGGGAGTGGGGTTTTATGGAGAGCTCCTCCAAGGGGTAGGTTTGGCTGTATTGCTCTCATCAGGGGCGAGTTAGTTAGTTGTTGGGTTTATACCACAAAGCTGATTGTTGCCGTTGTGATGGTTGGTGTCCAATCGTGTTTGGGCCTGGGAGGCCTCTGCCTAGTTGTAAGTATGTCTGTCTATGTACCTAGAGTGCTTTAGTCAGGGGTGGGGCTCTAGAGAGTGGTGTTGAGTTGGTGTGGCTGGTGTCTGTTATTTTCCCTTGTGTAAGGGTTGTCGTGTTGAAGCGTGCATCTTTTCCTTTGTGGGGGGGGGTGTTAGGAGGGATATATGTGTAGGAAGGGTGGGGGGAAGAGACGGGGCAAAGAGGTGGAGGGGGGGTTTCTGGTAAGGAGGGGAAGAATGAGGAGAGCAGTTGGGGGGCTTGTGGTAAGGGGTAGTGGGGGGTTTGGTTCCCTTGGGGTACGGCCGCACGCCACTGACCCTCCTTCCTACGGACTCGGGTTTTGCTCCAGGATCCAGGGGTCCCAGATTTTGTGAAAATTTTTCGTTGTTTCGTGTATTATTGCAGAATGTTTGTCCATTTCCATCACCTTGGTTGTCTTACAAAGCATTATCTCCAGGGAGGGTTTGTTGTGGTTGCCACATTGTACAGCTATTGTGCGTCTGGTGACTAATGCGAGCTTAGCCACAAGTTTGTGTTGTGCTCTGGTGAGTATATCTTGGGGTTTTGATAGCAACCAAACCATGGATGCAGATATTAAATACATTTTTAACCTTTGTGTGTTCCTTCTTGAATTAGATTCATCTCCTCTTTTACAATTAAAAAGCATGACAGTCACTTGATGTGTGTTTTTTGACAAATGTAAATACTGCCATTTCTCAGAAAAAGGGCACAGGGCTTATGCACTAAAACCATTTCATTAAGATAAAGTGGTTTTGGTGTTTAGTGTGTCCTTTTAAAAGACACCTTTTTCAGGCATTTCAGTTACCTGCAAGCTGTCGATCCTACACTAAGCTTGGGATATTTTACTTAACAGTTAAAAATACCCAATGATTGCTTAGAATTGCACCCACAATTCTCACTATACGTGCATGACCTGTTAAATAATAGACATGTGCAATTCGTTTCATTCCAAATGTACATTCGGACGAATTTCATGCAATTCGGACATTCGGATGCTTACGAATGTCTGAAGTTCGAATTTCCGAAGTGCAGAACTGAACCGAATTGCCGAATTTCCGAATTGCTTCAGATTTCTGAAAAGTGGCACAACAAGAAAGTTACGTGAATGATGAAAGGAATCTTGACCAATAAGCTAATTCCTGACACTGGGAGCCCTATAGATGTGTAAGTGGTTGTGGTGGCTTTCCGGGCACTGGGAGCCCTATAGATATGTAAGGGGTTGTTGTGGTTAGGGCTAGGGGTTAGGGAGCACCACAGATGTGTAAGTGGTTGTGGTTTCAGTCCGGGCACTCGGAGCCCTATAGATGTGTAAGTGGTTGTGGTGGCAGTCAGGCACTGGGAGCCCTATAGATGTGTAAGTGGTTGTGGTGGTTAGGGAGCCCTACAAATGTGTAAGTGGTTGTAGTGGCAGTCCAGGCACTGGGAGCCCTATAGATCTGTAAGTGATTGTGGTGGTTAGGGGTTAGGGAGCCCTACAGATGTGTAAGTGGTTGTGGTGGCAAAGTGCTTGGATTTCTGAAAAGTGGCAAAACAAGAGAGGGATGCTTACGAATGTCCGAATTGTCAAAGTTCCAAATTTTGGAAGTGCCGAACTGAACCGAATGCCATTGGTCCGAATTTCCGAAGCAGACTAATTTTTTTACTTACCCGAATTTCTGAACCGAACCGCACATCCCTATTACATGAGCAATAAAGTAACACTTTTGGTGCTGTGGTAAACTGACGTTTTACTTTCTCCTTAAAAGACACATTTCAAACAACTTACTGGGACAGCCTGAACCTAAATCAGGTGTCCCCAAAAGGTAGATCCCTAGATATTTTAGAACTATAGATTGCGTAATGTTTTGTCATTCTAAAGACTCATCACGGTTTTGTAGCAAAGCTTTGTAACTTGTTGCACTGTCCAGCTAATGTGAACAGCATTCATTAATGTCAAAATCATCTGGCTGCATACGGGGCTCTTTGAACTGCAAAATCCAAACAAGCCTGAATTTGGTACGGATTCCAGCAGGACTGATTGCCGTTGGGCAGCTGAACTTCAGACCACATGCTTCAAATACAGGCCCAGATACCTTTAAAAATGGGTCTTGATGTAAAAAATAAAATCTAAATTGTTTGGCTCCTGGCAGCACTAGTAGCCAGCAGGTAAATAGTTAAAAACCTTTGGTAAATAGGTAAAAATAAATAAAAAGGCCAAGGAGGTTTGAAACCTCGCTTAGGCTTAGCATATCTACTAAATTTTTAAAACTAGAAAGGGCCCAACCAAGCCTCTTAAATAATGCAGGGACATAGTCCTGCCCCATGCCTCAACCCTGGGCACATCCTAGGGTCACAGACGCCATGGTGCATAATTTTTTGTGTCCCATGTGGGCATGGTCATATTAGTAACCACTGCCCTTTGCGAATGTCAAGTACAGACATGCATCTTTCACTGAGAGTGTGTGCCAGTGTGTGTCAAATAAGTGAGGGGTGTGTGTGACGAACCGCCTGGCACCCCGACTGGGTACCTCCGTCAATCGCTGCTTCCTAGTACTTGCGAGCACCATAAGCACCGCACTGTATTAAACTCAATTATCTCCAGGCACAGTAAACATCATTTTTTACAAAACCCTAAAAAATAACATAAAATCCCCACAAAAGGATAGCCCTAATAGCCCTAATCTGGGTGACCAACGTATCCAAAAATCACCCAGATCGGTTTAGGGGTTGAGGAATTTCCTGGAAGTCATAATTTGACCGACCGTACGCTTGGCCCCATGGCAAAAATAGCTCCACAGAATCGTTGCTAAGTGCTGTTTGGGGCCGACCGGGAACCGCAAAGTCTTCATGACGAAAATAGTTCCAGGGCATTCGTGGCTAAGTCTCCCTGAAGTCTATTCGCAGTTTTGGTCCATGCGAACAGCCGACAGGGAGCTAGGGTCGGTTCTATGCGCGTGAATGGAAAGTGCCGAACCAGGAGAGCCAGGGGCAATAAAATATGGGTCTTTGCAGTTGCTGACCTGGCCCATAGTTGGTGGGCAGGAGGCCGGCTTCCACACAGACACACGCACTAACAGATACACTCTCAATGACAGACACACAATCTCACTGATTTGAAACACACTCCACTGACAGACGCACACAGATAGACACACACACATAAACTGACAGACACACACAGACAGACACACATACACTGACAGGCACACAAACACTCAAACACTGACAGACACATATACACTGCCTAGACACACACTGAGAGACACACAGACTGACAGGCACACTTACACATTTTGGCACACACACTCACAAATTAATTTTATTTCTTGTGGATCTTTTTTTTTACGCCCATCAGGCCGCTCCCTACTTTTAGGAGTCCTCTGTGTCCTCTCACTGGGGGTCAGTGGCTTCAATGTTTTTCCAGCTCTTTACTGCTCCCGGCATCACTAGATAGGGCACACCAGGGAGCAGTGAGGAGCAGGAAGAGCATCAGTTCTCACTTGCCGCCGCTGCCAACTGGCTCCCTCTTCCCCCGGACACACTGTATTACGGCAGAGTAGGCACCTACCGTACAGGTAAGCAGGTGCCTACTCTGCCTTGGTTAATGAGTGAACCACCTCTTGGGACCGCTGGCACAGTAATCAGCCCGCTCCACGCAGCTCCCCCAAACCTTTGGCGCCGTGGTGGGGTGCAGCGCCCCTGCTCCACCTGTGGGCATCTGGTGTTGCAGATTAAAATAAATAATGGCTTGTGAACAGATCACTGTCCCCCCTCCCAGTTTGACTCATAGTCAGCGGGTGGGGGCTGTTGTAATATACTGCGGAGGGACCTAGTGCCATCCTTTCCCCCTAAAAGAGAAACTGCTATGTTTACATTAGGGTTAATCCAGCCTCTCATTGACAGCCCCTAGAGGCGCATTCAGCGCTGACGTCAGAAGAGGGAGGTGATTTCCCCAGCGAGAGAGCCCGGCGCTGGAGAGAGGTAAGTGATTAACCCCTTCCTCCCCCTTCAGCCCGGCGGGAGTGGGACCCTGAAGGTGTGGGGGGGAGGGGGGGGAAGGGGGTACCTAAAGACCCTATAGTGATCCTTTAAACCTTTAAGGACACATGACATGTGTGACATGTCATGATTCCCTTTTATTCCAGAAGTTTGGTCCTTAAGGGGTTAACTTATATTTGTATTCCTATTGCAGTAATGTTCCTTTAAGCACACTATGCACATTACAAACTCTGTATAAAATATTGTGACACAACAAATGCCCTATAGTCATAGAATCTTTTCTTAACCTCCCATTATATCAGTGAGGGCCAAGCACATGATTGGCAACACAAAGGTTGATATTGCTAAATGTAAGAGATAATAAGTGAACATTGTACAGCGCTACAGAATTTGCTGGCGCTAAATAAATAAATAATAAAATAATAATAACATTTACAAAGTTTCAACCCTTTTGAATGCCAAATAGGTAAACATCTCGGGATGAAGTAGATGTGGCTGAATGCAGTAAGTGACATTATGACCGCAAAGCATTTCCTGTGGGGAAGTGCTGAAATCAAGTTGCCATCCGTATGCAAACAAAACACTGCCTGGAACAAATGTCAGTAACTACATATTCCTTATTAGGTTGGCTAATTTTCCAACATTACAAAACTCTACTCTGTTACTAGTAGTAATTGTAAGTTGCATAATAGAAGAGTAATGGGGAGATTTCTTTCTGTCTGTCTTTTTCTGGTGTGCGTGTTCAATAGAAACATAATGAACAACTTCTTGAGATATCAGAAGTAATTGTGAGATGTCATCAGAATTCTGAGAATTCATTTATTTATTTTTTTGTGATACATGTGTCACCATTACAGACTTTCCATATTAAATGTTATATATTTTTTTTCTTCAAGAATTAATCACATTGGATACTGCGTTGTGGCAGAATAAAGATTATTTTTTTCTTGTGGGAGCCAAAGGTTGTTTGTGTGTTACCTGAAGTTGCCTCTAGTGCAAGACTGGAATGGAGTGTTTTCTCTCTCCTCCAGATCCTGTACACAGCATTGTCCTATGTGCTCTCTAATTCTGAGGATAAAAGACATGTAGAGCACAGCCTTTTTATCTCTATGCTGATCGGCACAGGTTCAGCACAGACTAAACTGCCTGCGAGGAGTTGAAAACGACAAATTTTTAAACTCTGCTTTTAGTAAAATCTAGATATTTGTTAGAAATATTTGATGAAATTTGATTCTCTATCATCTGAGATTAAGTTGTATTTGTCATGACAGGTACCCTTTAAGGACGTCTAAAGATCTCTGTACAACCGTGTCTAAACAGAATAGGCCCAGTATAACTGTGTATATATTTTTTATGATTAACACTATAATATTAGTAATATTTTCTGTTGTGCCAAGTCCAAACATTATGAGAAAAATATAAAAAGAAACATAGACAAATTATTGTTTTACTATATTATATTTACAAGAATGATTAAAATTAGTTTTTATTGTTAAAATATTTTTGGGGGCTTAGATTCTATAACTGTAACAAACTCACTTCCTTTTCCATTTCCATCCCTATGCCACCATTCCCATTGCCCTATCTATCCACATTTCTAGTGCTCTCTCTACCACTAGACTTGTCACTGAGTGTCACTTCCCCGTCTATAATGAGAACTAACCAGGGTGACATGTGCTGCAAACCTGCATCTTTTATTGGCGCTACTGTAGAATGTCCTGTCCCACCCTTCCATCCTCTGTCGCTGTTTTTTTCAGAGTGTGTGTATATGTTATTGCTGTCAATTGACACTGAATGATTTATTTGTGTAGTGTCTTTACGGCTAGGCCTTGACTGCAATTTTTTACTCTTTCTGGAGTTAAACCTGACAATTCTATGGACTGGTACTACGCCTTCTATTCATTTTCTGCATTATATTTTCTCTAGTAGGGAACCGTGCTATACTAAATATGTTAAAGCTGCGAATATCCTGACAGTCTCTTTTTCCAGTGCTTATATATCCCCCTTCATATTTCTTTGTTTTCCTACCAACATTTCAAGTTACCAAAGGCAGTGTTTAAACCCCTTCAGCAGCTTACCTTATTCCAGCGTCGGGCTCCCTCGGCGCTGGTGACCTCTCCTCCGCCGACGCCATCCATCTCCCTGCATCCATCTCTCTGCGTCTGGCTTCTGCAAGTTTACTCGGTTACATTGGGTCCGGGAACCTCATCGCACGGAAGCTGGCGTAGAGATTTGAGACGGTAAACTTTTTACCAACGTTCTCTACGGCAGCACCCCTGAACTTCTGCATGGACATCCCTTCATCTCGGCGTCACTGGGCTGCTTCGCCCAGGAGATCATCGGCCTTTACGTAGTAAGTACCAGTGTGCCCCGTCGATGAGTGTGAGCCCAGGTTCAGGAACAAAGAGGTAAGACTGATACCGTTAGAGCGGTAGGCCCACAAGGGGTTTTATATTTGGAACCAGTTATTGGCTTGCCCCCTCCCTCTGGAGGGAAGAAGCGAAGGCGCACCGCTTATCTGGAAATTAGACGCTCTGTAGTCAGCCCGTCTAATAAAGGGGGTTTTGGTCAGGGTTAATCTTGGTGTAAATAGTTTATGCCGGACACCGGTGTCCTGTCTTGACTAGCGTGTCTAGGTGTAAATTTCGGTTGCTAGGTCGGGGAGGCCAGCGAGACTAAGCAGATTCTGGTGTACATTCCGTCTGCTAGTTCTCAACCTATCTTGGCTAAGTGTGCCCTGTTGTAAATTCAGCCACTGGACTATTGATAGAGTAGATAGACTAAATGGGTACTGTTGTAAATTCCGCCCACTAGTTCGCTATATGTGGTGCTTGGGCAGCGTAGACTAACCGAATCCTGGTGTAAATAGTTTGATAGTTCTCGAGGTGCTGGCGGTCTAATGGGAGTGTAAATTGTGTGTATACTGTATAATAGCGCACGGTATTATAACCATTAACATGTACTATAACTACTGACGTTGTGTAAAAATTACTAAAAACTGTTGTCTTATGTTATATGTGTAACACCATAACTGTTACTAACTGATCTGTGACTTTAAAACTGTTATAACCACTTGCTAACGTACCATAACCACTGATTGTAAAGATGAGGTTACTAGAAGTCGGTTAGTTAAAAGTTGATTTATAACGTGGATAATTGTAGGGTTTGATTTATAGTTACAGAGATAAGTATCTAGTGGTTGGTAAATCTTTGTGAGTGAGACGTCGTGATATCACTGTATGTACGAGAATTCTCTGCGTATTTTCGTGTGTGTGTGTGTTTGGCCTAGCAACTGTGCCACGTGGTGCTGTTGCCAGGGAAACAAATGTGATCGTTGGAAGCGTGTTTGATTACACGCGTCCTTTCTAGCTGTACGTTCACGAGCAAAGAAGAATGGCTGACTCAAAGATTGTTGATCCCTTGTCGTGTATGTTGAACAACTTTGCAAAGGGACATACAGTTTGTGATTTTGGGGTGAAATTATCCCCAAAGCGTTTGACTACATTATGTAGTAGAGAGTGGCCTATCTTGGTGACCACATGGCCTCCACGTGGTAGTCTTGATCTAACTCTAGTACAACGTGTGCATGCGGCTGTCTAGTAGGCCTGAATTCTATGATCAGTTTCCGTATATTGATTGTTGGAAACAGATTGTGGAAGAATTGCCTAAATGGATTACGGTATGCCACGAGGACCAATGTCGCCTCATGGTGGCCAGGACTCGCCTGTCCATCAGGGCCGCAACCCCGCCCATTTTAGACTTTCCCTCTGAGTCTGAACTTCCCCCCCAGCCCCTTGCTCCTCCTCTAAGGTTAGAGGAGGTGCTGCTGGTGTTGCGACTCCCCCTTCCCCATTGCCCCTGCCCACTCATTCATCTAGTTTAGAGCCCAGCCCACTTGCCCTGAGTCCTCCCCTTCCTGTACCTACCTCCACTAGTTCTATATACCCGGAATTAACGTCACTTCTGGTTCCTGGTCAGGCTCCTCCCAGCCCGGCCCGCAACATCCTGTTGACTGAACTTCCACCCAGTAAAATTAACCCGCCTCATTCTCCTTACCTTACTACCCCTAGACCGGAACTTACTATAAAACAGCCTTGCCAAAGTCCTATATTAACCCGACAGATGACTGGCACCCTTCAACCCCGACGTTACGAAATGCCCCTCCGACTTACACTGGGCCCAACACACGTTGACGAAAATGGCCAAATACAACGGGCAGATCCAGTGTTTGTCTATTCACCTTCACCACAACTGATCTATTCAATTGGAAGACTCATAACTCTTCGTATACCGACAAACCTCAAGTCATGACAGATTTGGTTACCTCCATTATTCAAACATCGTCCTGTACAAGATTTGAGAGCAGTTAATAATGCCGTAGTCAATATACACCCAGTTGTACCCAACCCTTATAATCTGCTTGCTTTGATACCAGGTGGGGCAACCTACTTCACAGTTCTAGACCTTAAGGATGCTTTCTTTTGCCTTCGGATTGCTGCTGAGAGTCAGTGGATCTTTGCTTTCCAATGGGAAGATGCTGTTACAGGTTCAAAGCGTCAGATGACCTGGACCAGACTACCTCAAGGGTTCAAGAATTCACCTACCCTATTTGGATCTGCATTAAGCCAGGATTTGCAAGATTTCAAGTCCATCCCAGGAGAATGTGTATTGCTTCAATATGTGGATGATCTTTTGATAGCAGCTGTTACTAAAGAGATATGCCAACAAGCAACTTATGATTTGCTTCACATTCTATGGAGAGCAGGATACAAGGTATCAAGGAAGAAAGCACAATTGTGCCAGTAAACTGTTAAATATTTAGGATTCCATATTTCCGAAGGTCAAGAATAATGGCACCTGAAAGAAAAGAAGCAGTATGTTGGATATCTATACCTAAAAATAGAAGACAAGTGCGAGAATTCTTAGGAGCAGCAGGATTCTGTAGGATATGGATTCCTAATTATGCGATACTGGTGAAAACCTCTTTATGAAGCTGTGAAAGGCACACAATATGACCCCTTTTTGTGGACCTCTGAACAACAGAAGGCATTTGAGGATGTTAAGAAAGCACTTATGAGTGCCCCAGCCCTAGGTCTACCAGATTACACGCGTCCTTTCTAGCTGTACGTTCACGAGCAAAGAAGAATGACTGTGGGAGTATTAACTCAGTATTTGGGATAATGGCTAAGACCTGTAGCTTATATGTCCAAACAGTTGGATGCAGTGGCCAGTGGTCTTCCACCTTGTCTGCGAGCAGTGGCCGCCGCTGCCCTGTTGGTAGCAGAAGTTGACAAGCTCACATTGGGTCAGGAACTCTATGTGCGAGTAACCCATGCAGTACAGACCCTATTGGATTACAAAGGAAATAATTGGTTTAGCAACAGTCGAATGACCAAATATCAAGCTATGTTATGTGAAAATCCAAGAGTACACCTCGAGACTGTCAATAATTTGAATCCAGCTACCCTTCTGCCCCAGACTACTGAAAGTCAACATGATTGTTTGGAGATAATGGATGAAGTGTTTTCAGGCAGGCCTGATCTTCATGATTTTCCCATCCAGAATCCGGACAAACAGTATGGTAGTAGTTATGTGAAAGAAGTTATACGTTATGCAGGGTATGCGGTAACAACCATAGACAAGGTGATAGAAGCATGGTCACTGTCGAAAGGGACATAAGCGCAGAAGGCGGAATTGATTGCATTAACAAGGGCCGTGCAATTAGCTGAAGGGTTGAGAGTGAATATTTACACAGATTCGAAATACGCTTTTCTAACCACCCATGCCCATGGAGCATAGTATAAAGAAAGGGGATTGTTGAATTCAGAAGGGAAAGAAATCAAGTATGCAGCAGAAATATTATCCAATCTTACTCAAGCTATTGTTTGAAGATGTGTTTTGTGTGCTCGAAACAATGCAAGACAAGGCCCTGTCAAACCCCCTGGAGTTCAATATATGGGAGGACTCCCAATGTTAGATTTGCAAATAGACTACACTGTAATGCCTAAATCTGGGAGATATTGTTACTTGTTGGTAGCTGTGTGTACCTACTCGGGTTGGGTAGAAGCTTGTCCAACTCGTACAGAAAAGGCAGGAGAAGTTGTACGATTTCTGTTGCGAGAAGTTATACCCAGATATGGACTTCCGTGTTCTATCGGATCAGAGAATGGTCCAGCCTTTATCCATCAGTGTTTACAACAATTGACTCATGTGCTTGGTATTAAGTGGAAACTTCATACAGCATATAGACCTCAGAGTTCTGAAAAGGTGGAAAGGATGAACAGAACAATAAAAACCCAATTGGCTAAAATGTGTCAGGAAACTCAGCTCAAGTGGAATGTCCTCTTGCCAATAGCTCTTTGCGGATACGTAGTACTCCTACCAGAAGAACGGGTCTGTCTCCCTTTGAAATCGTGTATGAGCGTACTCAGTAATCCAAGGGGGGACTTGAATCAGTTGGGTGAAGGAATTACTCGGCAGCAAGTTGTAGAGTTGGGTAAAACTATGGAGGAATTACAGAAATGGGTTACCTGTGAACATATATCCACCTGTTCATTCCTATCAACCGGGAGATCAAGTGTGGATAAAAGAATGGAATATTGTTCCATTAGGTCCAAAGTGGAGGGGTCCTTATATTGTTCTTTTTTCTACTCCAAAAGCTGTAAAGGTGGCAGAAGTGACTCCGTGGATTCATCATTCTAGGGTTGAACCAGCGGCAGATTCTTGGCAAGCTATTCCAGATCATGAAAATCCTTGCAAGATCCGGTTAAAGGGGGTAACTCAGTCGGAGTGAGAAATAATACAAGGAGATATTGGGACATCTTAGTTGAAAGTAACAACAGATATCAGCAAGTAGGTGTTTTGATGGCCATAATAAAGCCTGACCACCTACCTACGTGTCATAGCCAGAGTGTCTCGAAGGGACCTCTGTGAAGAAAAGTGAGGATCAGAAGAATCCTTGCAGCCCTCACAATCGGGAAGCTGAGGTGCCGTCACATGGTCGAAGAGTAGAAATGAGGACTTCTGAAATAATATGTTATATTATGTGTTTAGGTATTTTTGTGATTTTTCAGGAAGGTAAAGGTTAGGACATACAGAGTTGTGATAGCTGCATTAAGACTACGAAAACAGGTAACCAAATATCCCAAACTCATTTGGCACTCACAGTATGAGTGTAGGGGATCTGTATCTAAGTGTAGATATTTAGATATAGATTACAGTGTGTGCAAACCAATATCAGGAGAGCTTAAATGTTTTGATCCCCAATTCCAATCCCGTACAATTTGGTTGGTAATTCGGAACAGTAATTCCCAGGGGACCTTGATAAACAGGACTGTGATAAATACCATACATTCTACGGGCATTCTACTATTTGATGCATGTAAGGCAATCTCGGGTAGTGGAAAACCTTGGAATGTATATGGTAATCTTAAATGGGAACGAATTTATGGGTTTAATGATAAATATTTATGTCCCAGTAAAAGATCTACTGATCCTGATTGCCCAAATAGGGATTTTAATTTTTGTCCATATTGGTCTTGTGTAGGGTGGGCGACCTGTAGAAAAACAGTGGATCAAGATATGATTATCCAAAGGTTGCCCACTACACCACACTGTAAGTCTGTGGAATGTAATCCTGTCTATATGACCTCTAATCCACATTTTATTGATAAGTTTGGAAATCTATTTGGGTTCCTAATATATGGCACAGGAGTATATCCAGGGACCATAATATATGTAGGACTTGAAACTGAGACGATAGCAACTCAAACTCATCAGGTTTTTCATTCCTTCTATGAGGAGATGAGTGTTGAGGATAAAATTCCCCATAATGTTAAGAACCTATTTATTGATCTGGCTGAGAGTATTGCGGGTAGTCTTAATGTAACTAATTGCTTTGTATGTGGAGGTACTAATATGGGAGACCAGTGGCCATGGGAGGCAAAGGAAGTATGGTACCCTGGTTCTGAGACAGATGAACAACTAACACTTTCTCAGTCTGATCATCAAGTAAGTACTAGAGGTAAATCAGAGTGGCGGTTAAAAACCTTTATTATAGGTCATGTATGTTTAGCCAGGAAAGGGCCATTGTATACCACACCTGTTGGCGAGTTAATATGTCTAGGACAGAAGGCCTATAATGCTGATACTAAAGATACTACTTGATGGTCAGCTTCAAATGTCTCAGAGGCTACTAATCCGTTTGCCAATTACACCCATTTAAAAGAGGTATGGTTTGACTTATCTGCTATATCCAAATGGAAAGCCCCAGCGAATTTATATTGGATCTGTGGTAAGAAAGCATATTCAGAGTTACCACAAGATTGGGAAGGGGCATGTGTATTAGGTATGCTCAAACCATCCTTCTTCTTGTTGCCAATTGAGACAGGAGAGACCTTGGGAGTTAAGGTTTATGATGTAAATCATAAAAAGAAGCGAGCATCCTTGAAAATAGGTAGCTGGGAAGATGATGAGTGGCCTCCCCAACGCATTATTAATTATTATGGACCTGCTACTTGGGCAGAAGATGGTACCTATGGATATAGAACCCCAATATATCTGCTCAACCATATTATAAGACTACAGGCGGTGGTTGAGATTATCACTAATGAGACAGCTCGAGCACTTAATCTTCTAGCTAAGCAAAATACTCAGATGAGATCAACCATCTATCAAAATAGATTAGCTCTGGACTACTTATTAGCAGTAGAGGGAGGTGTATGCGGAAAGTTTAATCTCAGCAACTGTTGTTTGCACATAGATGATGAAGGGCGGGCAGTGGCTGAACTTACAAGCCACATGGTTAAACTTACGCATTTACCTACTCAGGTCTGGAATGGGTATAATCCTAGTAGTTGGTTTGGAAGTTGGTATGAGCAGCTTGGAGGGATTAAGGCGTTAGTAGGAGGAGTATTCATTATATTCTTATGTCTCTTTCTGCCCTGCCTAATTCCATTAGTGGTCAGATCTATATGTAGTATCATAGAGAGTACTATAGAAACAAAGACAGCTGCTCATGTAATGGCTGTCTATAGATATGAATCCCTAGCCCAAAGAGAACATATTCAGGATTAGGAATGCTGAAGGAGTTTGTGATGATGCTAAAATGCTTACAAGGTCTGTTCTGGTCCATGGCTACTTGAGAGGTGTTGGTAAACTATGATTGGTGATGCATCTGGAATAATTTTGTATCAGAGGCATCAAAGGGGGGAATGTGATGGAATTTCGGTGAAATGTAAATTTAGTAGGCCGAGATTTCCACGTGGCATATGTGTATGTTGTATCAGTTAGTTAGTTACACGTAGCTAAGATACTGTCATCAATGTACTGAGCATGTGCAGGAATGCAGGAACTGAAATCACATTCCTTTCTCCTTTGTTTCGGATGAGCCATGTGGTCTGCCCATATAAGGAAATCCAAATCCTGTTCACCGATTGGTTAAGGGTATGTGCGGGTGGAGCTATTAATGGGAGGAGTTATAGTTCTATAAAAAGCATGTACTCCATGTGTTCGCCTGTTTTGGAACGTTAGTTCATCTGAGGCCCGATCGGTATGTTAATAAAGACCTCTTACTTCCTGAAAACCTGCATCCATCTCTCTGTGTCTGGCTTCTGCAAGTTTACTCGGTTACAATATGGCAAGACAGCCGGAAGACAGCCACTAGACACTGGCTTAACCCCAAATGTAAACTGCTATGTTTGCATCTGCAGGGTTAAAACCTGAGGGACCTGGCACCCAGACCACTTCATTGAGCTGAAGTGGTCTGGGTGACTATAGTGTCCTTTTAAGCTGTAGTAGTTCTGGTGACTGTAATGTCCCTTTAAATCAGAGCACTGGGATGATGTGATGCCATATCACGCCCTCCTGAAGCTCCAAGGCAGTACACCAAGAAGTGGCAACATGTGAGGGGAACGACGACACATGTAGAGATAGCCTGCTCTTCCTGTATATTGTGCTTTCAGCAGTGGTATAAATTATATTTGCATCAAAAACGTCTACCCTGCGCCCCTATGAAAAACAAGGTATCTACAGCTTATATGTCTCTGTTGGGATTTCAGTTCAAATCTTAAAGTAACATAAAATGTTATCTACTTGCAAGCAGTTTGCCTAGAACAATATAGAGATGATATTCTGTGTTCCCTAAGTAACCTTCAGATCATATTTGTCTGATGAACGCTCTCTATAAAATACAGTTTTGGAGAATTTAGAAAAACACTATTTGAATTAATTTACAAAGAACAGCCAAAATCCAAGCATGATTGCAGTAATCTGTACAAAATATTACAATTTATTCTCAGAAGTTATAGCTCTATTTCATACTTAAATAAGAAATACAAAATATGAAAAAGCCGCCCTTGCTGCTCACCCATGTATGGCAGGTGACGGATTCTCAGATTCATATTCAATTTTATTGTCACCGTGCCATATATAAACAAGGGCAATGAAACACCGTTTGCCTCTCTCCCTCTTAGCCATGATGTAGCTGCATTCTCTCTCCAATTCACCCAATTGTGCAGTCAGGCATGGGTTAAAATAATGGAAATGGTAGGTTTCCCACCTGCTACCCCCACATACACTGTGACATGGCTTGCCAGGGGAGCTAATCTTTATATGGAAAATATGTTCAAAACCTTTAACCCCTTAAGGACCAAACTTCTGGAATAAAAGGTAATCATGACATGTCACACATGTCATGTGTCCTTAAGGGGTTAAGAAACTCTGTGACCTTAAAAACCGTCAGATACTGTTATACTGTTTCAGAATTCATGTTTTTGTTATCTACGTCTACCTGCGCTTATCATAATATAACAAAATAGATTTGCTGAAATGCTAAAACAAAATACAATTAAACAGAATTTGGGGAGTGGGAGAGTTAAAAATTAGTATATTTCACACCAGCTGTGTATGGAGTATAGCAGATAAATATGTGAAAATCATATAGTTAATAGTTAAACATTTCTAGGGTTATTCATTTAACTCTGAATTCTACCAAATTAAAATCTGCCTTGCAAAATTGAGGCAAAAAACATCAGATCTGGAAACATTCTCTAACTGGGCTCTTGTCACAGATTGGTTGTTTTTGTCTCAGTATTACATTTCAGATTTTATTGTTGGTACTCATTAACCATGCCAGTTTTCACCACTTCCCTAAATATTCTATGCTGCATTCTAGAATCAATGAGTTAACACGCAGTGTTCCTTTTCTAGGCCACAGTTAGAAACTTTTATCAGCCGCAAAACATTTCCACTTTCAAAGCACAGCCCTAGCACATAGACAGCTCACAGCAGCTTGACACACAGCTGTTAGCAGATTAACCCCTGAGCTGCAGAGACAAATTCACACATAGGTATACTGAAGCAACGGGAAAAGTAACCCTAAAACTGCTGATGACAAACATGTTGATTATTCCTAGTGCAGAGCATCTTTTTACAAAACATCAGTGGCAAAATCTATTTTACATTATATTTAGTATTGGCAATGGGTTCAGACACACAGAGAATGCTACCACAAACTGTTCTGGGTAGAATATACAAAATATGTAATTGTACATTCAGGAAAACATTTTGGATCTTTAACTATCCCGCGTCTTATATTTAATTATTCTTTTTTTTTTGTCATAGGGACACGTCTTTGTGGAACAAATATAGTCCAGAGGTGCACAACGCACAGAGGCTCTTTGCAAAATCAGACTCCTTGGGGCTCTGTTTTTACTGTGAACCTACGAGCTCAGCATCTTTATGCGAGTTGCTGTGGCAGTGTGCGGTGGTATGATCTCGTGGTATGAAAGACACCTATTTAACAGTTTCATCTTCTCTGTAAGTTAAATGCAAAATAAGACACAATATCTTATGATTCCCCTCCGATTTTATAATTAAAGGTGATGCTACAAATTGAGCTTTATATAACTTTTGGAATATTCCATTTTGAGGGTTACGTACAAGTATCTGCACTGCCTTATTAATATTTTAGATTTAAGAAACGTGCATATTCACTTCTTTAATACTCATTGCAGAACTTTATTGGTGAAGTTTAGTTTCCTATATTCTATTCTAACAAAAAGGTTCTTTTACTCGATTGCACTGTGTATCAGCACTCGGCATTCGTGCCTATCTGCAGAAACCAAAATACTTGGCAGTAATTGAGAAAGCGACTAGGCATCATTAAATGTGTGACTAGCCGATCGCCACTAGCAGGCTGTCACATTTCTGATTGCCAAGGATATTGGCTGTACTAGAAGTGAAGGGGTTAATAAGCATCCCAACACTCACACATTTTCCATGGATTTGTAACTTCAAACTCTGAGCTGTACAAGTAGATGACATATAAGGAGGATCCACAGACAGGGTGATGTGTAACTTACATCTTCCATGGTCAGCCTGTCCCCAGGATTCGCTCTCCCAGCCCTGAGCCTCCTCTACAGGAAGGGAAGCCAGATGTCCTCCTCCATGCACCCCCTTCTCCACACTCCCCACCCACCCAGGCTGGACCTTGGGTCCTGACAGGCTGAGCGAGAGGAACCTTACTAGCCCCAACTCTCGGCTCCCCTCCCTCTGTCCTACTTGATTCCTCTTTCTCATCTGCTCACAAACCTTTACTGCAAAAAGTTTGGGTTTCCGGTGGTTAAGATGAAGTTGAGTCAGTGAACTGAAAGTACAGAGAAACATGCTGACTGCAAGAGTGCAGAAACAGATATTAACTACATGAGAGTAATGCAGAGTAATTCTAACTTGCATCAGTTTACAGCAGTGTACTGACTATGCCAGTGCAAAGCACCATAGTACACGCATCATTGCATGTGTACGTCTATCAGTACATGATTGTAGTGTACTGACTGCTACAACACCAAAAAACTGCACAGACTGCTACACTGCAGAGCAATAAATTAAATGCATCAGTGGAGAGTAATGTATTGATTGTGCCCGTGCAGAGCAATTAATTATGTAGAGCAGTGTATTCATTGCATGAGTGCAGAGCAACATATTAATTGCATATTGATTGTGCAGATCAATGAAAACTGTATTGTATAGGCGAGGAGCACTGTATTGATTAGATCAAAGCCGAGTTATATATTGCAGCAGTGTGCAGAGCAGCGTATTGATTGAGTGTAGAGCAGCGTATTGATTGTTCGAATGCAGAGCAGTGTATTGATTGAGTACAGAGCAGCGTATTGATTGAGTGCAGAGCAGCGTACTGATTGAGTGTAGAGCAGCATATTGATTGAGTGCAGAGTAGCGTATTGATTGTCTGAGTGCAGAGTGTATTGACTGAGTGCAGAGCAACGTAATGATTGAGTGTAGAGCTGCCTATTGATTGAGTGTAGAGCAGCGTATTGAATGTCTGAGTGCAATGCAGTGTATTGATTGAGTGCAGAGCAATGTACTGATTGAGTGTAGAGCAGAGTATTGATTGAGTGTGGAGCTGCCTATTAATTGAATGTAGAACAGCGTATTGAATGTCTGAGTGCAATGCAGTGTATTGATTGAGTGCAGAGCAATGGACTGATTGAGTGTAGAGCAGAGTATTGATTGAGTGTAGAGCAGCGCATTGACTTAGTGCAGAGCAGGGTATTGATTGTCTGGGTGTAGAGCAGCATATTGATTGAGTGCGGAGCAGCGTGTCGATTGAGTGTAGAGCAGCGTATTGATTGTCTGGGTGTAGAGCAGCATATTGATTGAGTGCGGAGCAGCATGTCGATTGAGTGTAGAGCAGCGTATTTATTGTCCGAGTGCAGAGCAGCGTATTGATTGAGTGTAGAGCAGTGTATTGATTGAGTGTAGAGCAGCATATTGATCGAGTGCGGAGCAGCCTATTCACTGAGTGCAGAGCAATGTACTGATTGAGTGTAGAGCAGCGTACTGATTGAGTGTAGAGCAGCCTATTGATTGAGTGTAGAACAGCATATTGATTAAGTGTAGAGCAGCGTATTGATTGTCTGAGTGCAGAGCAACATATTGATTGAGTGTAGAGCAGCGTATTGATTGTCTGAGTGCAGAGCAGTGTATTGACTGAGTACAGAGCAACGTACTGATTGAGTGTAGAGCAGCATATTGATTAAGTGTAGAGCAGCGTATTGATTGTCTGAGTGCAGAGCAACATATTGATTGAGTGTAGAGCAGCATATTGATCGAGTGCGGAGCAGCCTATTCACTGAGTGCAGAGCAATGTACTGATTGAGTGTAGAGCAGCGTACTGATTGAGTGTAGAGCAGCCTATTGATTGAGTGTAGAACAGCATATTGATTAAGTGTAGAGCAGCGTATTGATTGTCTGAGTGCAGAGCAACATATTGATTGAGTGTAGAGCAGCGTATTGATTGTCTGAGTGCAGAGCAGTGTATTGACTGAGTACAGAGCAACGTACTGATTGAGTGTAGAGCAGCTTATTGACTGAGTGCAGAACAGCGTATTGATTGTCTGAGTGCAATGCAGTGTATTGATTGAATGCAGAGCAATGTACTGATTGAGTGTAGAGCAGAGTATTGATTGAGTGTAGAGCAGCCTATTGATTGAGTGTAGAACAGCATATTGATTGTCTGAGTGTTGAGCAGCGTATTGATTGCCTCAGTGCAATTCAATGTGCTGACTGCAGTTGTGTAGAAAAATGTATTGACTTCATACGTGAAAAACAGTGTTTTAACTATTTCCACACAGTGCAATGTATTGATTACATCAGTGCATATCAATGTACTTGATACACCACTGCAGAGTAATCTAAATCAGTGGAGTAATGTACTCATTGCATCAGTTCAGAGCTGTACAAACCCTGCATGTGTGCATGACAACTTATATTGACTTCATTGGTACATAGCAATGATTTACCTGTATCAGTGAAGAACAATGCACTATATATAGCAGTGCAGAACAATATATTGTGTATTGCAGAGCAATGTACCAAATCTGTTTGTGCAAATCCGAGCACTGATGGCAGTAGAAAAGAACCAAATGTACCCCTCCTCCATCTTCAAACCCCCAAATCTAATTAAATTAAGTAAAAAACTTACCTGGAATCCAGAGCTGGACAAAGCTCTTCTCAAGCATTCCACGCCGTGTCCATCATAACTTCTTCCCTCTTCCCTCATTTGATTGAACCGTTCTCAACCGGCACAGAACGCATGCACATTACAGGAAAAAACCTATCGTCATTCTCAGCGTGGGGAGATGTGGAGGGAGCTTACCGAGAGAAGGTGAGGAGAGCTAGGCTTCTCAGTAGTGGTAGAATTTGGCAACGTCTGTCACCAGAGCACAGGGCGTGCTTATGACAGGACATCATTTTTGCACAGAATTGATATTAGGCAGCCCAGAGCAGAGTCTTTCGGGGGGGCAACTAGACCCTGGCACAAAAGTGCAAATATCTCAGGATGTGCAGTGTTTCAAACAGAAATGATAGTCATGCATATTACTTGCTCCATAGCCACTTCTTAAAGCTGAAAGGGGTAAACCTGTAACCTGACTGGGATCCTGTTGGATCTTATTCTTTTCCTGCTTAATTACTGTAGCGGAGGAGCAGGGGTTAATCCAAGGGCTCTCCCTGGGAACAAAGATTCAGCATACAAAGTCACAGGAACACAGCATAATCCACCTCCCCAAGGACTTCACATAGTCTGGGAGTCAACTGCTAACTTTAATCACAGGTCTGCTTTTATGCATTTCTCCCATGCAAGGGAGGTAACTTTCATAATTTGTACAGTAACCAATTGTAACCCGGTCACCTCCCCTCCTTCTCCTCCCCCTTAGATTAGCACTTAAACCACTTAGTGGGGACAGGGTTTTCCCCACTTTCTGGATGTCCCCTAATTACATGGGGTACAGGGACAAATAAAGGGTCCCCTGGTAGGTCTGATCTGGGTGAGCAACATACTTGAAATTCACCCAGATCGGACCAGGGGTTCGGGAGTTACAGCCTGTTAAAGATTTGACCTACCGCAGGGGCTCAGTAGCCGAAAACAGTTCCATGCATCCTGGCCCTGCGGTCGGTCTATTTCAGTGAACCAAAAATACTGAACGGTTAGCCATCCGTATGATTTCTACCATTCGTATGATTCCCCTCGTTTAGGGGAGTCTATCTACCGAACGCCGGGGCGTTCGTGTGTTAGCTTCGTATTGTCGGAGCACGCTGGAGGTCTCAGCGGTGCTTGGTTAGTCGAATGCCCGGTTTGAGTTCCAGGCGTTCGACAACCAAGTACCGCTGTTCGTGCGTAAGATGGCCGCCGCCACGTGTTCGTATGTTGAATGGCGGCCACACATACAGGTACTTAATTCCCTTCGCAACAATGTATCACTCGTTTAATTGGAAACACACGACCACCCCGGGGTGGTCCTCCGTTCGGCAGTTTCATACATTCGAACAAACACATTACAATATTATTAAAGTCCATTTGTGTGGTTATTCCCTTGGTGAATTGTATCTATTCACTCAGAATAGGTAGTCCAAGTGGCAGGGTTTGCCACAATTACCTTTTGGAAAAGGGCATTTTTCTAGTTTGTCTAGTGGCCACTCTGGGTCCGTTCATTCTCAAGTTGTCCCTTGTTTTTTTGTGAGGAGAATCCCAATTCCCTAGTCCAGGGCCGCCATCAGGGGGTGACAAACATGATGGCATCTGCACCGGGGCCCATCCTCCCAGCTTACTCCGCGCGAGGGGAGAGACAGCCGAGCAGAGGAGAGGAGAGCAGAGGCATTCGCTCCCATCATCCCCAGCTACCCTCCTGCAATTAAAGGTAAGGAATAGGAGGTTGGCTGAAAAATGAGGTGTATGTGTGTATGTATATCAGAATGTATGTATGTGTCTGCATGTATGTATGTCTGTTTGTCAGTATGTATATGTGTATATATGTCTGTGTGTATGTCAGTATGTGTGTATGCATGTGTGTATCTATCTATCTATCTATTTATGTATGTATGTGTATGTATACGTGTATGTATGTAAATATGTATGTCTGTGTGTGTGTATGCCTGTATGTATGCATATATCTATCAGTATGTATGTGTGTATGTATATATCTATCTGAATGTGTGTATATCAGTATGTATGTGTGTCTGTATGTATATCAGTATGTATGTGTATGTATGCCATTATGTATGTATGTATGTCTGTATGTCAGTTTATATGTATGTCTGTTTGTCAGTATGTGTGTGTCAGTATGCGAGTATGTATGTACGTCAGTGTGTATGTGTCTGTATGTGTGTATCTGTATCTCCTTATGCATGTGTGTCTGTATGTGTTGGTATATGTGTGTGTGTCTGTTTCAGTATGTGTGTATCAGTATGCCTGTATGTGTGTATGTCTGTTTCAGTATTTGTGTATCTTTTTGTGTGTGTCTGTGTCCTTTTGTGTCTGTGTGTGTGTATTTCTGTGGGCATGATTTGGAGGCGGGCACCCGGGGGCCCAGACCTTGAGCTGTGTTAGGGGCCCCAAAATTTCTGATGGTGGCCCTGCCCGAGTCCTTACTTACCTTTTCCTATAGAGGCAGAAATATCAGCCTCTAC